GAATACCGGGAATGGTGATGATTTTTTCTGGGACTAGTGCCTGATTTAGAATATGACTTTTGTCATCTTTCCTTTTTTTCGATCTCGATTTCTCTCTCTCTCGCTCTCTCTCTCTATCTCTATCGCTCTCAAAAGTTCGCAAAGTGTTCCCCAAATCCCGAAACTCGGCTGTTTTCTGGTTAGCACATCGCCAATTCCTAAAATGTTTCCCCGGGGGGCTGGCGGATTGCTGTCGCTACCCTCTATTCTGAATGGGAAGCGGAACAGAGCCCGTGTTTTTTGGTCGCTTCCGAGCGGGAGCGCTTTCCGAGAATAAAATTGGCCGGCCCCAATCAGTCGTCTACGGCTGCAGACGGCGTGGAAAAGGTCGAGACGGGATTCCGGGATGGGGACGGGCAATATATCCAATATCCAATGGGTGAATAGGGCAAAGTAAAGTATCCAATACCCAGGTCATAAAAAAGTACGTAACTTGTTTGTTAAACTTCTGGTAGATGATAATTAAATCAATGTCAATTTAATTTAATCCGAGGATACCTTGCACCTTATATAGCTCCCTAATTAAGCCATAAATCCGACTAAATTAAGTGCCGTTAATAAGCAGATTTTGAAGATTTTTAGCGTTGCAAAACTAGAGCGGAGGCCGGATGAGATATGGAACGGTTGGCGCGAGCCGCGAACATCGCCTGGATCACAAAGTTCTGAGAAATCGAAAAGCCGAAGGGACGGCCTGGGCGTTGTCGGTCCCCAGGATGAGAGGAAGACGGAGAAAAACCCAAACTCATTATGTTCAGAGGAGCAAATTAGACACTAGTTTTGGGGATAAAATTAATCTAAAAATTCTTAATAGCAAAAACACGATCCAAAGAAGAATTAAAGCTCCAAGAAATGCCTATTAGTAAATGCTTAGTTTTTCAATTTTGGTTTCAGTTTTAGTCATGGAAAAAACTTAAATTGAAAGAAAACAAATTCATGAAAATAGTTGGAGATTGAGCAAAGTTAGAAAAGGTGAAATCGACTCAACAGACTTCGAAAATAACCAACGATCAACCCGAAAAAAAGCTAAACAAGCAAAAACGCATCTTCAACAAGATCAACAAGCTAAGATTTTGTAAACTTCATCGACGTCAAAAATTCGATAAACCAAAAATCCAAGCCAACACCGTGTTTAGCGAAAGGTACGGGCAAAGTTCCGGCGTGTCCACCCCTCCAGCTTCCCGCACCCAGCTCAACAAGCCAACCGGAAGGGCACAGGAAGTTCCGCGTTAGCACTATCGACGGTACGCGATCCGCGAGCAAGACATCGGGGCCTGGGTTCGTTCTCCATACCCACTTCATCCACGTCATTCCTAATTCGTAGCTTTGTCGGGGGACAAATTTTTGGACTGGAACGAAACTCGGTCGGGAAGTGGCAGAAGGGGTACGTTCCATGAACCTGTAAAAAAGAAGGAACTAACACACATCGGTTAACGATGAATGCCTACGCCTAAGCCTAAGTCTAATCCTAAGCCTAAGCCTGAATCCTAAGCCCAAGCCTAAACCTAACCCAAACCTAGGTCTTTACATTAGCTCCCCGGAGCAAATTTTGGCTTATCGCCGGTTTGAGTCCATCACGGTGGTGCGAAGTGATAAATTGCCTTGATCAGCTCCTGGTGCCGGTTTTGGGCTTCCAAAAAACACATCAGCAATGTTTCTCACCTTCCCCGGATGTTCCGACATCAGCGAAGATATTTAGGTCGCCAATAACACTAACCCTTGGTTCTGAAAACGCTTGATAAACGATATCGCCCTTTTTATTTAGTTACTGCAATATTCTGAACCTATTAAGATTCGACAGAAAGTGTACCCCGATCTATGCCTTCCCGCCTACGTGCCGAATCGTCCGGCTCCAATTTGCATTCGTGCGGAACCTGATTTGCATTTTCCTCAAATGAGAAGCGGCGGAAACAAAAAGTTCCGCCTCGCCACGGCGACAGACGGTCAAAAGGACATGCACGCAAACAGCCAGAAGATCCACTGCCCACCACCCCCAGGAACTTATCCTCGGGCTGCTGGGTTTCAGGCGCCCGAAAACCATAGTCTCGCCCCGGCCGCGATGGTGTGTAAGTTCTGCCCCTGGCCAGCTTGGCGTTGATGCTTGGTGGATTGGGTGCGGTACGAGCAAAGTACCAGCTCGAGGTATGGTGTCGCGATCCTGCGACTGCATGCGCGTGCTGAATGACCGGAAGACCAAGCTAATAACCATATCTTCCCCTCATTACCATGTCGATTTCCCTACGTTCCCTCGTATATAAAGCCCCGATTTCTCGTTGTGATTGCTTCAGTCATCCGCTCCGACCCCGGCTTCCCAGTCCTCATTTACTTCACCGAGGTGTCACCCCACCGGGGACATCCTCAGAATAAATGTTGTGACCCTTCATGTCTGCTCTCCCACGCTATCGAGACATGTGGTGCCCCGTGGGATCCCGGTCGACATCTACTCGGACGTGATGCTGAACGCCGCCCCCGGGAGGGCCACGTACCCGTGTCCATCTGATGTATTCCGTGCCCGTCATCCGTTCGCCACCGCGAGGATCAAGGCGGCCGGCTTCTTCTCGTGTTCAAGGGCAACATCACGTGTGCCTGGCTTCTTCGCGTGATCCAGGGCGTCTTCAACGTGTTCAAGGGCGTCTTCATCGTGTACCAGGGCAACATCATCGTGATCAAGGGCAACTTCGCGTGATCAAGGGCAACTCCACCGTGTTCATGGCGCCGCTTTGTGCTAGGACTAAGAATCCGCTTCGCCCACCGGCATCGCGGAAGGTTGGCTGGTACAAGGCGTGTGCGGGCCGATGACGTGCGTGGCGACGAGTCAAGAAGCAGCGATGTCTGCCACCGCGGGTCGTCTGCAGGCCGTTCGACTACTGCCGCTGAAGCCTCGTCCCCCGGGAGTGTCGCGATCCTGCGACTGCATGCGCGTGCTGAATGACCGGAAGACCAAGCTAATAACCATATCTTCCCCTCATTACCATGTCGATTTCCCTACGTTCCCTCGTATATAAAGCCCCGATTTCTCGTTGTGATTGCTTCAGTCATCCGCTCCGACCCCGGCTTCCCAGTCCTCATTTACTTCACCGAGGTGTCACCCCACCGGGGACATCCTCAGAATAAATGTTGTGACCCTTCATGTCTGCTCTCCCACGCTATCGAGACATATGGTATAGAAATACGCAAAAATTATATCAGGGAGAAAGAGCGAGAGAGCGAGAGAGAGCGAGCGAGAGGAATAGAAAGAGAAAGGGAGAGAGAGAGAGAGAGAGAGAGAGAGAGGAGAGAGAGAAGCGATAGCAATCTAGAGAGAGTGCAGAGCGAGAGGAAGATTTTTAGGACCTTTATAGTTTGTCAGGTAAGCTCGTATTAACAGAAAAGCCACCACACTCTATTGTCAATTGATTAAGCCCGACTTCGACTTTTACATGATTTTCCTCGTCTATCGTAGCGCTTCGACGATTTTGCTGCAAACAACTTTTGTCGGGATATAAACCGCAACTTCCATACTATAAACTTAGATTCCAACAAGATCGAATGCAGCAACAAAGATAAAACTCAGGCCGGAGAAAGAACTCCTTTGAGAACCCAGGGGGCTCCAAATCCAAAGAACCGTTCCCTATTCCAAAACGCGCTAATTCAATCCCATCCAATCTTGCCGTATCCAATCGCAAATTGCCGTGGCAGGCCGCAAAACGTGGTCGCTGTTCCGGAGAGCTCATTTGTCTTTGGCCGGTGGGAAATTAGCCGCCATTCCGTCGCGAATTCTGCCGGAATTCCACGGCACTACCCTGTTTTGGATGCTTTTCAGTCCGTTTGGGCGCAGAATTACAGACACGGAAGGAAGGAAGGAAGGAAGGAAGGAAGGAAGGAGGAAGGGAAGGGGACGGTCAGACGGGCAGCGAGGCAAAAACCTTGATAGCCTTTCGCCCGGCGGGTTCATTCGGAAAGCAGCTGGGGAGGGGAGGTGGAAGAAGGAAATGTGGTGCCAACGTTTTCAGGAAGGAGACGGAACGACAACCCGTTTGGGGTGTGCTTCGGTGATGCTGTCGGGAAGGATGGAGCTGGAGCTGGGGGATATACGGTAAAATTTATAAATTGTCGAGGGAGCGAGAGAGCGAGAGACAGAGAGTGAGAGAGACGGCGACCGGGGCGGAATTTCCGGCTCAGCACGATTTTCTCCGAGTTTAACCATCTACAGCGCAAAGGCGGGAGATGGATCCAAAGGAGGCAGAGGGAAGACAGTTTGTTTAACAGAACTAGAGAGAGAGAGCGGGAGAGAGAGAGAGAGAGAGAGAGAGAGAGAGGCGAGAGTGAGAGAGTGAGAGAGCGGGGATCAGTCGAGAGAGAGAGAGAGAGAGAGAGAGAGAGAGAGAGAGAGAGAGAGAGAGCAGATAAGACCACACCAAGCTTTTTCACCTATTTTTGGAACACCCCACTCGTCAATTCCGATCAAAAACCACCATCTCACGCCACGGCCCAACGAATAGACCTCAGGGAATTTTTCTGCAGAAAGTGACCGCTGTCGTCTATGCCCTGAAAATAGCGTTGTCGTGGAATTTTGGACGATGCGCCGCATAAATTGGCGTATTCACGAGGTAGGGGGATGTGTGCAAGAAGTGCGTTTCGATTATGCAGCACTCGCGGCCGGCCAGCTAGCTCATGTTGGAGGAAATTGCCTGTCGAGCGGAGGGATCAAGAAAATAATTTATAATAGCCTCTTGAAAACTGCCAATTTGGATATTAATTTTTTAGTTGATGAAGAATTGTATTCCAAGTAAAGTATTCAAATAAAGAAAAATTCTATAACATTTCAATAATAATAATTCTAATGATTCGGGCATAATAATCTCTAATTTTATTAAAATACGAGCTAAAATAGACCATAGTTTTAGGCTGATAATTATGTAAATTCGAAGTGCTTTCACCCGTTGCTCAGATCGAAATTGTCTGAAATCTTTCACACGGGTTTAGTTACCGTATGCGATACGTGCCTGGCCCACGGTGTTCACATACACAGCCACCACTGTTCCAACCGTATGCCAACCCGGTGCTGATTGGTAAATTTGGGTTTTGCCGCCCGTCTGCTCGTTGATCGGCTAACAAAAATATCACAAGGGGGTGCGTGGGAGCCACCAGAACTAGGAAAACAAAAGGTGGCATGGAATAAGTTTAATCGTTGCGGGAATTGGATAAATCTCTGATTTTATTGGACTTTGATGAGTTACAGGGCAATTTATGCTTTTATGGAATTACTGTCTCTCTCTCGCTCTCTCTCTCTCTCTCTCTCTCTCTCTCTGTCTCGCACGGTCTTTTTCACACAGGAATCAAGCATGTTCTTTGGCTTCCTCCAAATCCTAGCCCCGATTTTTGGACGCCATTATTAGGTCCAGAAGCGGTTCGTGGAGATGCTCGGACCTTGGCACGTCAAAGGCGCGGGCGTAGGCCCAGAAGCGGCAAGGGCTGATTCATAATTCTCGATAATGTGTGTAGTTGCCTCAGGCAAGGGGGAAGATCTCTGGTGTCTTCTGAGTGGACGACGCGGGTTGCCAAACTACTGAAAAATTGAAGCGATAGAGAGAGGAAGAGAGAGAGCTAGCGAGAGCGGGGAGAGAGAGTTAGAGAGAGAGGGCGAGAGAGAGAGAGAGAGAGAGAGAGAGAGAGAGAGAGAGAGAGAGAAGGAGCGTGCGAGTTTGTGAGCGAAAGAGAAAAAGAGAGAGAGAGAGAGAGAGAGAGAGAGAGAGAGAGAGAGACAGAGAGTGGGAGAGGGAAAGTGAGCGAAAACGGAACCTAAGACGTGGATGCGCCTAAAAAAATACAAGCCTTCCAAAGATGGAGGATTAGGCTAATCCCCCATTCAGAAAAATAGCACAGCACATAAGCCAGCGGTGTTTAGACCCAGCGCCGTGTTCTGAGCCCCTGATCTCGTTTTCGGGAAGAAAGAGCAGGCTGAACATCCGCTTCCGCCAAAAACTCCCTACACTGGCTTTGCCCTTTTGATCGATGAGCTTCCTGCGCGGGTTTTTTTTGTCCGTGGGGCTCCCGGCGATCTTTGCAAAATTCTGCAAGCTTCTGTAGGAAGCAATAAAGCTTATAAGGGGGCTTTTTTACAGTATGAAAATCATTGCAAATTGCATGTTAGTAATTACAATTTACAATTTATCCAAATGACAATCAAGGCCAGACCCAACAAATCACACCCCTGCCAGAGCGTACATAGTTGTTGTGCGTACGGATGTAGCCGTCCATTTGGGCGCGGCCGACAAAGTGGATGAAGTCTTGCGACAGGTTAGTTCTCCTTGCGGCCACCAGTGGTAGAGTAGCGCCTAAAGATGTCGGAAATGTTGCAAATTCGACACAGTCGGTTCCGATAGCTCGGTCAAGACTTAAAAACCTGAAAAAACTACCGCAAGCCCTGGTCCTTGAGCACATCCCGGCCGGTGCGGTGTCGGTCTAGAAAAGTGTTAAAAATTCGAATAAGAAAATGGCACGAAATACAGTAGGTGCAACACTATGCATGAGAAATAAATTCCTAGGGTGGAAATCTACCCATCCATTGGCCCTTCCGGCACGATGCTGTGCCGGATTCGAAACCATCATCTGGGCACCACTGCCTTTGCGTAGGCTTTGAAGCTGCACCAGTGAAGGGCAGAGTCGGTTGATTTGGGCTCGGTTCCTAAAATAGAATTTTCACGACATGATTTGGACGAGAAAAGCAAGCCAGTTTTTTATAAATAAATTAGTGTTGTAAAACTATTCGAAGCAGCAAGCTTGCAGAGATAATTTAAAAATTCATCAATTGCAAATTTCCTATTTCCTATCTTAAAAGTTGAATTTCAAAACTTTTTTACCGATTATACTCCTGCATCCCGATGATGTGATGGGTCCACTGATAGGGCCGACCCTTTTGGCCCGACTGTCGATGCATCACGTCCAGGTTAGAGTGCACGAAATGGTGCCGGGTTTGCTCGTTAAAATGTCGATAAAGCTAGATAAACTGGTCAAAATCGGAATAAATGTTTAACCGGCACTAGATGCGCCGCCAGGTTGCCACGAGGACGGCCTCCAGGATTTCCAACACTTGGATTTCTAGGACAAGTTGGAAATGCCAAAATTCGGTCGCTCACAGATCGTAATCGCCGATGGCGTTGTAGTCGGCGTTTGGATTATTCTGGAACCGTAATTAAAAGGGCGATATGAACGTAGTAGAAGGTAGCATCCCTCTCCGCTCTCTATCTCGCTCTCTCTCTCTCTCTCCCTCTCTCTCGCCCTCTTTATCTCTCTCTCTCCTCTTTCGATCTTCCGCAATCTTCTACTTGCCTGCTCATCGAAATCCTCATTTTGCTGTGGTCGTTGGGGCCCTAAACAGATGGTCGATGATTGTAGTTTACCTTACCAGATCCTCCACCTCCGAAACCGCCACCACGGCCTATAAAACTAGCTAAAATAGTGTTAACGGCTTACCAGGTCCTCCTCCAAACCCGCCTCCATTTCCTAAGATAAACTATGGAAACAATATAATTGTTGTGTCTTGATAGAGTGTGGTGCGCAGCGGGACGAACAGTTTACGAACAACTGTTTATTCGGTGAGCAACATGGCGGCAAGAGGAGGAGAAATTAGAACCGATTTGGAACTGGGGAAATAAATGCCATCGCTGGCCCAGTGGGGAGAGAGACCCCGCTACGGTGGAAAGGGCACTGGATAGGCGAGGGGCCGGGGGCGAAGGGAAAAGGCGGGGGCGCTCGAAGGCGCTCCGCAACACCTCCCCCTGTACAAACGAAAAAGAAAGGAAATGTGAATAGGAGAGGAGACATCAACGGAAAATGTACAACTGCGTACAGCAAGACGAAGGATCAAATCACAACGTAAAACAAGTCAAACTTATTTGCTTTTTCCTTTATTAATTGGCGCGCGCGTGGGCGACGGTCATCCTTCCTTCCTTCCTTCAGAACGTTCGGCGGTGCTTGACCAAGGAAGACGGCACTGCGGGCACGCCTCCTTCCCTCATGCAGGAATGATGAGCTTGATCTTGCCGCTCCATGTCGACGGGCTCGCTGGGGCACCGTCCGCCGAGCTGCTGCATCAGACCCGGTCTTCGCGATGGGCCTCTTCCGTAGAGGTGAAATCCATCGGCCGGCTGCTCGCTGTAGTGGCGCGCCGGTCTTCTCGACTACAAACCGTCGGAGGTTGCCGGGGGCTTTTCAGAAAAGCCTGGGTCCCGGTCTTTCAACGGCTATAAACGGCCGGACGTTGCCGCGGGCTTTTCCAACGTGAAAAGACACCGCGGTCTTTTTCTTCTTTCCTTGAAGAAGTCGCGGCCGGCCTTGACGGAGTTCCAGTGGGCGAGCGGCAGCCGGATGCCGCGTAGTTGACCCATTCGTCGTGGCCTTCTCTGCATTTCTTGTCGTCCTTGGCTGGAGACATCCTTCCTTCCTTCTTGCGCTTGAGGGCGAAGACGGCGCGCTTCGACTTGGTCCTTCTTGTCGACGGGCATGGCCACGCGATCCGGGCACATAGAAAGTGCGAAGGCCAAATAGGGGCAAAAGACTTCCCTTTCAATCGAATCCTCCATGGGATGACGCCGCTTCTTTGCCATGTAGACCAAATTAGAACGAGCCTCCTTCCTCCTTCCTTCCTTCCTTCAGAACCTTCGGCGGTGCTTGACCAAGGAAGACGGCGACTTGCGGCACGACCTCCTTCCCTCTTTGCAGGAATGACGAGCCTGATCTTGCCGCTCCATGTCGACGGGCTGGCTGGGGCACCGTCCGCCGAGCTGCTGCATCAGACTCGGTCTTCGCGATGGGCCTCTTCCGTAGAGGTGATCCATCGGCCGGCCGCTCGCTGTAGTGGCGCGCCGGTCTTCTCGACTACAAACCGTCGGAGGTTGCCGGGGCTTTTCAGAAAAGCCTGGGTCCCGGTCTTTCAGGCTACAGACGGCCGTAACGTCGCCGGCGCCTTTTCAAAAAAGTCGGCTTTCCGGTCTTTCCAAGACAGGCCTCTTCCATAGAGGTGTACCATCTGCCGGCCGCTCGCTGTAGTGGCGGGCCGGTCTTTCTCGACTATCAACCGTCGGAGGTTGCCGGGGACTTTTCAAAAAAGTCTGCTTCCCGGTCTTTAAACGACGGGCCTCTTCCATAGAGGTGTACCATCGGCCGGCGGCACTCGGTAGTGGCGCACCGGTCTTTCTCGGCTATAAACGGCCGGTCGTTGCCGGGGGCTTTTCAGAAAAGCCTGGGTCCCGGTCTTTCAACGGCTATAAACGGCCGGACGTTGCCGCGGGCTTTTCCAACGTGAAAAGACACCGCGGTCTTTTTCTTCTTTCCTTGAAGAAGTCGCGGCCGGCCTTGACGGAGTTCCAGTGGGCGAGCGGCAGCCGGATGCCGCGTAGTTGACCCATTCGTCGTGGCCTTCTCTGCATTTCTTGTCGTCCTTGGCTGGAGACATCCTTCCTTCCTTCTTGCGCTTGAGGGCGAAGACGGCGCGCTTCGACTTGGTCCTTCTTGTCGACGGGCATGGCCACGCGATCCGGGCACATAGAAAGTGCGAAGGCCAAATAGGGGCAAAAAGACTTCCCTTTCAATCGAATCCTCCATGGGATGACGCCGCTTCTTTGCCATGTAGACCAAATTAGAACGAGCCTCCTTCCTCCTTCCTTCCTTCCTTCAGAACCTTCGGCGGTGCTTGACCAAGGAAGACGGCGACTTGCGGCACGACCTCCTTCCCTCTTTGCAGGAATGACGAGCCTGATCTTGCCGCTCCATGTCGACGGGCTGGCTGGGGCACCGTCCGCCGAGCTGCTGCATCAGACTCGGTCTTCGCGATGGGCCTCTTCCGTAGAGGTGATCCATCGGCCGGCCGCTCGCTGTAGTGGCGCGCCGGTCTTCTCGACTACAAACCGTCGGAGGTTGCCGGGGGCTTTTCAGAAAAGCCTGGGTCCCGGTCTTTCAGGCTACAGACGGCCGTAACGTCGCCGGCGCCTTTTCAAAAAAGTCGGCTTTCCGGTCTTTCCAAGACAGGCCTCTTCCATAGAGGTGTACCATCTGCCGGCCGCTCGCTGTAGTGGCGGGCCGGTCTTTCTCGACTATCAACCGTCGGAGGTTGCCGGGGACTTTTCAAAAAGTCTGCTTCCCGGTCTTTAAACGACGGGCCTCTTCCATAGAGGTGTACCATCGGCCGGCGGCACTCGGTAGTGGCGCACCGGTCTTTCTCGGCTATAAACGGCCGGTCGTTGCCGGGGGCTTTTCAGAAAAGCCTGGGTCCCGGTCTTTCAACGGCTATAAACGGCCGGACGTTGCCGCGGGCTTTTCCAACGTGAAAAGACACCGCGGTCTTTTTCTTCTTTCCTTGAAGAAGTCGCGGCCGGCCTTGACGGAGTTCCAGTGGGCGAGCGGCAGCCGGATGCCGCGTAGTTGACCCATTCGTCGTGGCCTTCTCTGCATTTCTTGTCGTCCTTGGCTGGAGACATCCTTCCTTCCTTCTTGCGCTTGAGGGCGAAGACGGCGCGCTTCGACTTGGTCCTTCTTGTCGACGGGCATGGCCACGCGATCCGGGCACATAGAAAGTGCGAAGGCCAAATAGGGGCAAAAAGACCTCCCTTTCAATCGAATCCTCCATGGGATGACGCCGCTTCTTTGCCATGTAGAGCTCTTGTCCTTGCGCTTGATCCACATCTGCTTGACCAACTTGTCCTTGACTGGGCGGCGGCTTGAGCGGCTGCTTCTTGGCTTGGGCTTTTCCTGATGTTGTGTGAGTTCGGAATCCTTGATCGCCAGTTGTTGTGTCTTGATAGAGTGTGGTGCGCAGCGGGACGAACAGTTTACGAACAACTGTTTATTCGGTGAGCAACATGGCGGCAAGAGGAGGAGAAATTAGAACCGATTTGGAACTGGGGAAATAAATGCCATCGCTGGCCCAGTGGGGAGAGAGACCCCGCTACGGTGGAAAGGGCACTGGATAGGCGAGGGGCCGGGGGCGAAGGGAAAAGGCGGGGGCGCTCGAAGGCGCTCCGCAACACCTCCCCCTGTACAAACGAAAAAGAAAGGAAATGTGAATAGGAGAGGAGACATCAACGGAAAATGTACAACTGCGTACAGCAAGACGAAGGATCAAATCACAACGTAAAACAAGTCAAACTTATTTGCTTTTTCCTTTATTAATTGGCGCGCGCGTGGGCGACGGTCATCCTTCCTTCCTTCCTTCAGAACGTTCGGCGGTGCTTGACCAAGGAAGACGGCACTGCGGGCACGCCTCCTTCCCTCATGCAGGAATGATGAGCTTGATCTTGCCGCTCCATGTCGACGGGCTGGCTGGGGCACCGTCCGCCGAGCTGCTGCATCAGACTCGGTCTTCGCGATGGGCCTCTTCCGTAGAGGTGATCCATCGGCCGGCCGCTCGCTGTAGTGGCGCGCCGGTCTTCTCGACTACAAACCGTCGGAGGTTGCCGGGGGCTTTTCAGAAAAGCCTGGGTCCCGGTCTTTCAGGCTACAGACGGCCGTAACGTCGCCGGCGCCTTTTCAAAAAAGTCGGCTTTCCGGTCTTTCCAAGACAGGCCTCTTCCATAGAGGTGTACCATCTGCCGGCCGCTCGCTGTAGTGGCGGGCCGGTCTTTCTCGACTATCAACCGTCGGAGGTTGCCGGGGACTTTTCAAAAAAGTCTGCTTCCCGGTCTTTAAACGACGGGCCTCTTCCATAGAGGTGTACCATCGGCCGGCGGCACTCGGTAGTGGCGCACCGGTCTTTCTCGGCTATAAACGGCCGGTCGTTGCCGGGGGCTTTCAGAAAGCCTGGGTCCCGGTCTTTCAACGGCTATAAACGGCCGGACGTTGCCGCGGGCTTTTCCAACGTGAAAAGACACCGCGGTCTTTTTCTTCTTTCCTTGAAGAAGTCGCGGCCGGCCTTGACGGAGTTCCAGTGGGCGAGCGGCAGCCGGATGCCGCGTAGTTGACCCATTCGTCGTGGCCTTCTCTGCATTTCTTGTCGTCCTTGGCTGGAGACATCCTTCCTTCCTTCTTGCGCTTGAGGGCGAAGACGGCGCGCTTCGACTTGGTCCTTCTTGTCGACGGGCATGGCCACGCGATCCGGGCACATAGAAAGTGCGAAGGCCAAATAGGGGCAAAAAGACCTCCCTTTCAATCGAATCCTCCATGGGATGACGCCGCTTCTTTGCCATGTAGAGCTTCTTGTCCTTGCGCTTGATCCACATCTGCTTGACCAACTTGTCCTTGACTGGGCGGCGGCTTGAGCGGCTGCTTCTTGGCTTGGGCTTTTCCTGATGTTGTGTGAGTTCGGAATCCTTGATCGCCAGTTGTTGTGTCTTGATAGAGTGTGGTGCGCAGCGGGACGAACAGTTTACGAACAACTGTTTATTCGGTGAGCAACATGGCGGCAAGAGGAGGAGAAATTAGAACCGATTTGGAACTGGGGAAATAAATGCCATCGCTGGCCCAGTGGGGAGAGAGACCCCGCTACGGTGGAAAGGGCACTGGATAGGCGAGGGGCCGGGGGCGAAGGGAAAAGGCGGGGGCGCTCGAAGGCGCTCCGCAACACCTCCCCCTGTACAAACGAAAAAGAAAGGAAATGTGAATAGGAGAGGAGACATCAACGGAAAATGTACAACTGCGTACAGCAAGACGAAGGATCAAATCACAACGTAAAACAAGTCAAACTTATTTGCTTTTTCCTTTATTAATTGGCGCGCGCGTGGGCGACGGTCATCCTTCCTTCCTTCCTTCAGAACGTTCGGCGGTGCTTGACCAAGGAAGACGGCACTGCGGGCACGCCTCCTTCCCTCATGCAGGAATGATGAGCTTGATCTTGCCGCTCCATGTCGACGGGCTCGCTGGGGCACCGTCCGCCGAGCTGCTGCATCAGACCCGGTCTTCGCGATGGGCCTCTTCCGTAGAGGTGAAATCCATCGGCCGGCTGCTCGCTGTAGTGGCGCGCCGGTCTTCTCGACTACAAACCGTCGGAGGTTGCCGGGGGCTTTTCAGAAAAGCCTGGGTCCCGGTCTTTCAACGGCTATAAACGGCCGGACGTTGCCGCGGGCTTTTCCAACGTGAAAGACACCGCGGTCTTTTCTTCTTTCCTTGAAGAAGTCGCGGCCGGCCTTGACGGAGTTCCAGTGGGCGAGCGGCAGCCGGATGCCGCGTAGTTGACCCATTCGTCGTGGCCTTCTCTGCATTTCTTGTCGTCCTTGGCTGGAGACATCCTTCCTTCCTTCTTGCGCTTGAGGGCGAAGACGGCGCGCTTCGACTTGGTCCTTCTTGTCGACGGGCATGGCCACGCGATCCGGGCACATAGAAAGTGCGAAGGCCAAATAGGGGCAAAAAGACTTCCCTTTCAATCGAATCCTCCATGGGATGACGCCGCTTCTTTGCCATGTAGACCAAATTAGAACGAGCCTCCTTCCTCCTTCCTTCCTTCCTTCAGAACCTTCGGCGGTGCTTGACCAAGGAAGACGGCGACTTGCGGCACGACCTCCTTCCCTCTTTGCAGGAATGACGAGCCTGATCTTGCCGCTCCATGTCGACGGGCTGGCTGGGGCACCGTCCGCCGAGCTGCTGCATCAGACTCGGTCTTCGCGATGGGCCTCTTCCGTAGAGGTGATCCATCGGCCGGCCGCTCGCTGTAGTGGCGCGCCGGTCTTCTCGACTACAAACCGTCGGAGGTTGCCGGGGGCTTTTCAGAAAAGCCTGGGTCCCGGTCTTTCAGGCTACAGACGGCCGTAACGTCGCCGGCGCCTTTTCAAAAAAGTCGGCTTTCCGGTCTTTCCAAGACAGGCCTCTTCCATAGAGGTGTACCATCTGCCGGCCGCTCGCTGTAGTGGCGGGCCGGTCTTTCTCGACTATCAACCGTCGGAGGTTGCCGGGGACTTTTCAAAAAGTCTGCTTCCCGGTCTTTAAACGACGGGCCTCTTCCATAGAGGTGTACCATCGGCCGGCGGCACTCGGTAGTGGCGCACCGGTCTTTCTCGGCTATAAACGGCCGGTCGTTGCCGGGGGCTTTTCAGAAAAGCCTGGGTCCCGGTCTTTCAACGGCTATAAACGGCCGGACGTTGCCGCGGGCTTTTCCAACGTGAAAAGACACCGCGGTCTTTTTCTTCTTTCCTTGAAGAAGTCGCGGCCGGCCTTGACGGAGTTCCAGTGGGCGAGCGGCAGCCGGATGCCGCGTAGTTGACCCATTCGTCGTGGCCTTCTCTGCATTTCTTGTCGTCCTTGGCTGGAGACATCCTTCCTTCCTTCTTGCGCTTGAGGGCGAAGACGGCGCGCTTCGACTTGGTCCTTCTTGTCGACGGGCATGGCCACGCGATCCGGGCACATAGAAAGTGCGAAGGCCAAATAGGGGCAAAAAGACCTCCCTTTCAATCGAATCCTCCATGGGATGACGCCGCTTCTTTGCCATGTAGAGCTTCTTGTCCTTGCGCTTGATCCACATCTGCTTGACCAACTTGTCCTTGACTGGGCGGCGGCTTGAGCGGCTGCTTCTTGGCTTGGGCTTTTCCTGATGTTGCGTGAGTTCGGAATCCTTGATCGCCAGTTGTTGTGTCTTGATAGAGTGTGGTGCGCAGCGGGACGAACAGTTTACGAACAACTGTTTATTCGGTGAGCAACATGGCGGCAAGAGGAGGAGAAATTAGAACTGAACTGGGGTTGGGCTGGCATGGATAGCTGCCCTGAGAGAGGCATTCCGCGTGCTTCGGTAGCTCAATAGGGAGAGCATCGGACTCGAAAGCCGTAGGATGCGGGTTCGACCCCCGCCCGGAGCACTTGTTTTGCGGATTGGACCCGGAGCTATCTTTGGACCTAGGAAGCCCGTAATTCCTAACTGGCGACCACGGAAGGATTTTCCCGACCTTGCACAAGCTCTGACGAATTAAGGCCGCAGTCGCAAGAATGCCTGTGGGACCAGTCATCTTGGAGGGGAGGGTGGTTGGGCTGGCATGGATAGCTGCCCTGAGAGAGGCATTCCGCGTGCTTCGGTAGCTCAATAGGGAGAGCATCGGACTCGAAAGCCGTAGGATGCGGGTTCGACCCCCGCCCGGAGCACTTGTTTTGCGGATTGGACCCGGAGCTATCTTTGGACCTAGGAAGCCCGTAATTCCTAACTCTGGAACTGGGGAAATAAATGCCATCGCTGGCCCAGTGGGGAGAGAGACCCCGCTACGGTGGAAAGGGCACTGGATAGGCGAGGGGCCGGGGGCGAAGGGAAAAGGCGGGGGCGCTCGAAGGCGCTCCGCAACAATAATCAAAATACCAGATCCTCGACCGCCAAAACCGCCGCCATTTCCTGCAAATATTGACACGAATTAGTACTATGACCGAACTTACCAGGTCCCCTACCTCCGAATCCGCCTCCGTTCCCTAAAAAATTAACAATACACCATAATTCGATTACCACGTGCTGGTCCTCCAAAACCATCGCCATTTCCTGAATTAACAATTTGGAGTTTTACATCTGTTTTATTGGTTCTTTAGGTGCTTTTGTTTGCCCATTGTCTTTAGTAAATTTTAACTATATTTAAAGCAGAAAAACCTTCAAAAAAGTTAGAAAGTGTCTGGAAAAGTCGAAAACTTGGTCATTTTAGGTCCTTCCCCGTTCTCGCCTCCCCGCTAATCCTAAAGGTTCTTTAGGATTTTTCGACCTAAAATTCAATTGTTAAATTAAGATGTGTGTAGTTTGTATGCTCAGGGATAGCTAAAAACAATTTAGTAACGCATCCGCTATTTAAAAAAACATTTCGGCTTGTGCCGAAAAAAAATTTGGAATCCCAAAGAACCGTTTTATTCCCTACCTCCCGGAGCCATGCCACCAAAATTTGGCGGAGGACCATTGCCACCATTATCAAATGCTAAATTACAAATCATGCTTTTTAAGTAAAGTTAAAGCTATGTCAAAAAAGGATACCATAGTATCGCAAAATAATGTAAATTTACCTCCCGGTATCGCAAACGGACTCCTCCCAGGTCCAAATCCATCACCACCGCCGAGACCCGGAAAAGCCGGCGGACCTCAAAAAAATGGTTTGAAGACCGTTAACTACAAACCTTGGCAAATTACGAACTCAATGAATATCAACAGCAAAAACCTCATATTTTCCGAAATGGTACTTCGTCCGACTAATCACGTTCTTTTCTAATCTGCCGAGTCCTGGGCAGGCAAGAGCCGGTTTTTTGCCCTTTTCGATATTTTTCGAGTTGTCAATGTGTCTGTCATTTGGGAGTAAGTTGGCAACATGTCATTTTCTCATTTTGAGTCGATTCGCGAAGGAACAGACGCCAATTGTTAGGGCATTTATTATATAATTTTATATTACGGCCACACCCAACAAATGACACCCCGACCCGACGGAGCGTAATCGTTATGCGTTCGGAGGTATTGGTTCATGTCTTGGGGCGAGGAGAAGTGGATGTAGTCTTCATTCATATTCGTTCGCCTTGCCGAGACCATTGGGAGGACGGCTCCTGAAATTTAGATCAGGAAGATAATGGAAATAAGACTTTGAAACCTAGAGAGAAGTAGGGAGAGAGAGAGCGAGGAAGAGTGAGAGAGAGAGCGAGAGAGCGAGAGAGAGTGAGAGAAAGAGCGAGAGAGCGAGAGAGAGAGAGTGAGAGAGAGCGAAAGAGCGCGAGAGAGTGAGAGAGGGAGAAAGAAAGAGAGAGAGAAGGAGAAAGACACACCCAGACAGACAGAGAGAGAGAGAGAGAGAGAGAGAGAGAGAATGAGATAGAGAGATGAGAAAGATATTTTCGAGCAACTTACCGCATGCTCTCGTTCTCGAGCACATTCCGGCAGGTGCAGTGGGGACCTAAAAAGTCAAATTTTCCCTTACGCCGTTTTAAGAGGTGCAAAAATCGAAATTTTGTATTACCCATCCATTCATACGCCCCATCTGTGCCTGCATCGGATTTGCAATGAGCAGCTGAGCACCATTGCGTTTCAAACTCTGGAGCTGAACCAATGATGGGCACATCTGGCGCAGCATTCCTTGGTTCCTGAAAAAATCTTCGTTTTTAGTAGCTACAAAAACTGGTTGGAATGAGTATACCTTGGTGACATAATCTAAAACTGGTTTGAAAAATTAATTCTCTAGCTTACATGCTGAATGCTTGCATGCTGATAATACGATGAGATCCACCGCTGACCCCTCCCGCATTCCGAAGGAACACGGCCGGATCAGAATGGATAAAATGGTGCCTGGTGATGGGGTTCCAGAAGCCACGGAGCTAAAGGGCGCACTATTTCTAGCTTTTCTGCTACTGAGAAATGGCGTAATGCACTTACAGTCGCCAAATATGGTTCAAGCGGACCGCCTGGTCCTCCTCCGCCCATCCTAAAAGTTGCATGGGAACTTTGGGAGCGTAGCTTACCCATCGAAACCGCCCAAGGTATCGTAATCGAAACTTGGCCGCGGCTAATATCGGATTTCAAGCTTTGTTTATATTTCAGCACTTACGCCTTGCTGAAATGGATTGGCGCCTCCGAAATCTTGATTCTCGGCGATTGGAGGGCCAAAATTTGATCCTAAATATGTGAAAATGGGGTAGCCATTAAAAAAGGTACCCCCAGGATTGGCAAAACCACTTCGGCCCGGTCCAAGCGATCCACCATCGCCCATCATCGGGGTTAGGCCGTCTGAATTTTTCTGTTTTTTTCTGGTTTGGACATATAAAGGAGCTCCAACGCGGGAGCCCAATGCTAGCTAAAAATCCATGGCCGGCCTTGCCCGTCCCGTTGATGGTTATGATCAAAAAAAAACAGATGCTAGTTCTTTTTCCAAGTCTATTTAACCATTTTTCACTTACCATCAACTCCAGGCGTTCCCACTGCGCGAACAGAACCAATCAATAAACACAAAACTGTAGCTCGCATTTTCCGGCGAATTTTAGGAATGTCCTCCAAAATGACAGTTTCAGGATGAGAGACCGTCGTACCGGTTTGGGTGTTTTTCTTGATCTGCCCGTCTACTCCCGATTCGGCTATCCCCCAGCTGTTCGGCCGATACTTGGCAGGCACGCTTTTCCGGAACTTATCCTCGGAAAGAATTGAGGAGGGAAATTTGGGATCGGGGAAAAGGCTCGTCAGCAACTGCTGCTTCCGTTTAGTGAGTCAGGTTTTTAAATTGTCTGGAAAAGTGAGAACCTGCTGGATGTCATCGGACTTTGCAACGCTAACCCTTTTTACTTGTATTTAAAAGGAGATGTTCAATAACAATAATTCGAAATATCTAACATTTTTCAAATTACATCATTTTTCCATCTTTTTACAGGGAAGCGTTAGCTTTTATATTTTTTCTATTCTTTAAAGCTGTTATAGACCTATTTTTTCGTGGTGTAGGTTTTCTCGTGCTTCTTGAATTTCCACATTTCGGAAGGTTTTTTACCTCGAAGTTTCTTTCCCGAGCATCCTTAAACGAAAATATTTATTCGAAAACCTGGGCCCCTCCGGTCCCCCTATATCAACCGGAAAACGAGTTGGTTGCTCCGGGTTTCGTCGTGACACCTCAAAATTTGGCGCCCCTTGTTGTCAAGGATGTCGGCGTGGACGGCTTCGACGAGTACGGAGAAGTTGAACGATTTGAACAACTGGAAAAATGGGTTCTGGTGCCTGGCCGTGAAATGAGGATTATCGGGTCTGGACCTGAATGGTCATGGTACCGGGCCTCAGGTGGGAGGCGTACGTCCATCTTGATGTCTCTCTCTCTCGCTCTCCCTGTCTCTCTCTCTCCCTCTCTCGCTCTCTATCACATTTAATTGTACTTTCTGACCATTTCATGGCAAAATACCGGAAGTTCAAGTGCTGCCCCTCTCGAAAAAAATGACCCCATGTGATCGGAAAGTTGCCAATTATCTTCGGGATCTCTCAGGTGCAAAAAGACAGCCCAACGTCTAAAAAGCCAAATTACCTGTTGTGACTGAAAAGCTCCAGCATTTGCCGCCGCACCCGAAATCCCAGCTTCTTTCGCCAGTTTTAAAGAGTGTGCCAGGAGGTGCTTTGCAAGTCCTGGAAATTCATCAAATTTCCAAAAATACGATTTAAAATGGTGAAGTGAATGACGTAAAATTTTATTTACCTTTTCTAGCATAATCTGCTCGGGCTGAAATCAGGGAGATCCACAGAACTTTGTCAATCTCGGTTGGGAAGCGATTCCACGTATCAAACTAGAACATATTAACGCAAGCATGATAACGAGTAGCTCGGTTTTTCGCTGGCATATTTGGGGCGAATTTTTGAATAAATCGTACGTACCTTTTCATCCTGCTTCCGGGAAAATAGCAAAATTGGCTGCTTATCGGTCTCCTCGTTCCAATGCACAGCATAGCCGGCTTCGTCTCGGCTACGAACTATACAGTTTCTAAGACACAATTAGCATCGAAGTCTGAAAAATTACATTAATCCAACAATTTCGTCCTTCTCGTTATAAAGTATTGCCGAAAAATCGTTGCAACCACGATTTAAAAGTCCTAAAATGATTATGCTATAAACGGGAAAGCTAGAGAGTGAGAGAGAGAGAAAAATACAGAGATTCAGATAAATACCATAAGAGAATTTTCGATTTCTAAAGTACCTGTAAATACTTTTACAGTCGTCTCCATATCAGTATGTAATGCCACATTCATCGGGTTCCGCTTTAGAAAATCAGACTGTAGGAATTTCATGTAGTTTGGGACATCTTCAGGCTTGAAGCGTTCAAGGCGAATATTCGGATCCATTTTGAAGCCCTAATTCCGGTCGAAAGTGCGCTTTCCAGGCATTTATACCCCGGGACGCTTATCAAATAGAGCAGGAGGGGGTTGCAATCGATTTCGTCAGGCTTGAGTCAGTGCGCTGCAACCGTTCCGTAATTTCCGGCCGCCAGCTGAAGGAAAGGCTGCAATGAGCTCATTTTAGGAAGTTTTTCGACGTAGATCCTTTAATTGATACCGGTACCTTTACAAAATTTACATTCTTCTCTGGAGCCTTGCTAATCAAAACCAATTCTGTATTTTGGTTTTCAAACCCCAGCCATACATCAAACCCGCATTTTTCGAGACCTCCGGCTTCGGATTTTGTAGTAGACGATGCCGAGACGTCCACAAAAATGCCCGACAAAAACGCGGCTGTCGAATAGGGATATTTTGGGATTGGGTAGTCAGTAGCCGTTGGTGAAAATGCGGTAAAAACTACCTACAAAATTTTGACCTAGACCGTATTGTGATCTTGGATCAACGGAAGCTTGTGTGACAACCAAAACACGATTTGAAGGAGTTTGGAAGGCAACATACGAATTTTTCGTGCTCTCGGCATCTCTGTCTCTGTCTCTCATTATCTGTCACTTGCTCTCTCTTTCACTCTCTTTCTCTCTCTCCCTTCTCTCTTTCTCTCTCTCTCTCTCTCTCTCTCTCTCTCTCTCTCTCTCTCTCTCTCTCTATCTCTCTCTTCTCACACTCTCTCTATCTCTCTCTATCTCTCTCTCTAGCCCTTTCTTTTTATCGCTTTATCTCAGCCTTCAGGCCCCTTCAAATCTAGAGCTTTCCGAAATTCAGGTTGCATGTCATGCGTACATACTTCGCCCTCACAAATTTGCAAATTTAAGAGAAATCCCACGTTCAACTAGGTCAGCAGTTTCGCTTGGACGCTAAATTTTAACCTCCTAAAAAACTACGCATGTGCAACGCCATCCTGAATGGGTCACAAAACAACCTAATACTGGTGGGAATATACTGAAATGTTTGCAAGTTCGACGTGCCTGGTTGGCGGCCGGCAGGTGATTTCAAGCAAAAAAAAAAAGCTGAAAGATTAAAAGCAACAGTTCGTTCGTCTCGTCGACCTTGTCCGAACGACCAGAACACAGGACTTTTTAGCTTTCCGGGAAACTGCAAATTCACGTCGCCACCATTCAAATTTTTGGCTGACTTTAGGGATCTCACGCTACAAATGTTTCACAGGATCACCCTGAATTTTTCGGAACCAAAAAAGTGAATCAAAATTTGGTTAAATTCGGTGTTTGCATTTGGCTACAATTGGGGACCGAGCCGATGATGAATAATTTACCACTTGGCCCGCCGGTTGACCGGGCTCCATTGGGACTCGTATTTATATATGCCGAAAAATGGCTGAGTTGCGGATTTTTGAATGGAACTGAATGTATCGACAAGAAAATGGTTTCGGTTTTTCGCGGGGTTTTCGGATCATTTTTATATTAGCAGCAAGAATTCCGGTCACTTCACCTAAATCCGTTTCGCCTAAACCCGTTTCGCCTAAACCCATATCGCCTAAAACCCATATGGTCTAAAACCCGTTTCGCCTAAACCCATATCGCCTAAACCCATATCGCCTAAATCCCGTTTCGCTGGTTCTCCCCATTCCCCAACCCCCCCCCCAAAAAAAAAAAACCCCTTTTAAAACCACCAAAAAAAAAATTTTTTTTATTCCCCAGGAGCGACAGTGCTTTACACAAATTGCGTTCGGGTGGTTGAGCAAAGTCAAAGATTTGACCAGATTCTGGCTTTTTTTGCGTTGGTATGAAAATCATTAACAAGAGCGCTCAAGATAAGCGCTTTACACTCTGAGGTTGCTGCAAAAATCTGGAAACGATAGTTTCTATGAAGGTGCAAGGCGCAGGGTCGGAAGGGGCCGATTTGGCACTTTTTGGACCGGTTTATCAAAATGAGGACTTTGAGCACCGTTTTATCAAGGACAGTAGTCGGCCCGCAATTTTTGGCCGATCGGATTTGTTGAGAATTTCAAGTTCTATCGAATGAGCTGTATCAGCCAAACTTAAGAAGCAATACACTCCTTGTTAGCACGCCAATGTTATACCATACTTTGTACATTGTACCTTTTTCCAGACATGGCAAGTGGTCGCGGCCCGGCCCGGCCGGCCCGGCCGTAGACCCATGCCGGCCGCGGCCGGCCGATATGAAATTAGCATAAATCCCGGCCACCGAGGCCGTCTCCAAAAAAGAGTCTGGCCGGCCGCGGCCGGCCGCGGCTGCACCATGGCGAAAATAATGACCTATTTTTAGGATTTCGAGTTGAATTTTAGTGATTTGCATGATTTCTGCCAAGGAAAAAGGCAACGAGCAGTTCATTGCAAAAGCCGCGGCCGGCCGCGGCCGGCTGCGGCCCCAGGACGTTTTTGCGGCCCGGCCCGGCTGCGGCTGTGGGTAATTTTTGCGGCTTTGCGGCCGGCCCCGGCCGTGAAAAAAATTTGCATGCGGCTTCCGGCCGGCCGCGGCGGCCGTTTTGCCATGTCTGCCTTTTTCGCATCTAATTACCTCCCAGCTTCTCGAATTGTCTTCAACCAGACACGCTCTACCCCTCGTGGCAGTGTGTTTACATCGAAGACGTCGAATTGTAGCCAGGGGGGGGGGCAGCCATAAGGCGGTTAGCTGCCTCCTCGTCGCCTAGATTCTGGGAATCACCGCGTTTTGTAGGCCCGGGGGCCGCCGAGGTGTATAGCTCGAAACTCGAATTTTTTCGAATTTCCTCGGCTGACGCGCATGGAAATTGGTGTTGAGGAAATGGGTCAATCCGCCGAAAAACGCAAAGAAACTGCAAAAATGCTGCGTCAAAACAGCTAATTAGCGCTTCATCATCGGGCCGAGGTGATCGAGATTAATTTCCGGTCGTACTTTGCGTCGTACTTCATTGCTTCCGTTGCAGGCCGGCTGCAAAGCACAGGATCACGTCGTATTTTATGTTTCGTGAATGAGATCACGTAACGTGCCCTTCGAATTTGTGGAGGCCGATTGATGGTCCGTATAGCGGGTGGATGCTTTTTTTAGAAACAACTGCACCCCGTGGAGGTCCACCTCATTTTATGGCCCGCCCCGGGAGGAGGAGCAGCAGCAGTTGAATTTTAGATCGGCAATGGCTTGATGTCATCAAAACATGGCAAGGTCGAAAATTGGGCACGAAAAGAACGAGCGAATGAAAGTATAATCGTATTTTTTCACTGTAAAAATTCTGCCAAAACCGAGAAACAGCTACCATAGAGTTGAAAATCAAAGAAAAAACGAACAAGGTTTGACCATTTTGTTTTCACCCCAAAATTCAAAATATTTTTGGATCATATTTGCATGCAGCGTTACTCAACGATCATAAAAAGACTTCCAATAAAATCCAGTTTTAGGCTTAAACTTAGGCTTAGGCTTAGGCTTAGGCTGACAAAGAGATCGTCACAGCTCGACATCGAATTTCGACCTGGAAGTTAGCTCATTTTTGTAGATTCCAGATAGGCCCGGCCCTATAAATTTTCAACGATTACGCGTTCTACTGCAATTTGACGTCGCTAAAATGCCAGACGACCTTTGCGTAAAAATTCACTAATTGGATCCCTTACAAGTTGCCCTTTCAAAAACTTGTTCTAACCCTCGTGTTGAACTATACAATAGGCCCAGCCGACGATGGGGCAAAATACAGGAAATTTGACATTCAGTTTTCGGGTCTACTGCCCGTCGAAATTTTCCCAAAAACTGGACATTAGGGCCCTTCCTGTAATTTAAGGCTCCAAATTGGGCATGTCTAGCCCTGATTTCCGCTGAAAACCCGCGAAAATGGGCCGAAATTGGGATTTCTTGTTGGACGTTTTATTTTTAGGTTATCGAGAGTTTTTTATTTTTGAGACTTGTTGAGAATACGATCTTTTTATTCAGGAACGGATTACACATTCCGATGTACACCAAAAAACATATATAGGTGCGTTCGGGAAATTTCAGGTTGTGTTTAAAAATTTGGCATCATCAACACGATATTTCCATTCAAGAACCCGATTACACATTCCGAGGCGCGCCAAAAAACGTGCATGGACGCCCTCCCGGAAATGCCACGTTGCCCACGAAATTTCGCATGAAAGCATCAAAAACTCAATATTTTCTCTAGTTTCCTAGGGCAGCGTCAGACCATCGAAATCATCCACATATTTCACCCCCAAAGAATGGGTTTTACCTGCCATTTCACGCGTTTTCGGGGCGACTACCGTAACCCGGCGGCCCGGACTTAAAACTCGGGGAGGCGAGAGAGCGGGAGGGTGAGAGGGCCCAGAGAGGCCGAGGGCCAAAGGGGGTGGGCCCCTGGTCCAAACCACGAAGCACGGCCCCACCCAGGTCGGCCTATATAAGCGGTGGCCGGAGCCCGGGAATCCGGAACCTTATTCAACCCTAATCACCAGCGGCGTTTTGCGCATTCGAATCGGCCTACTGTACCTGGGTGGGTTTGGCTGGGTGGCCTTGAGGTTAGCTTACTGGAGCGTTGGTTCGCCTTACAAAAATTTATGCGTTTGTGTTGTTACAACAGGCTTAAAAACCTGGAATTTAGCAATGTCGATAGTTTCGTTGTCGGCTTAGGCTTCACTTTGGCTTAGCCTGCGCTTAGGCTTAGGCTTAGGTTTAGGCTTGAGTTTCGGCTTAACTGATTTCAAAATTTTAATTAGCATAAAACTCACAAATTCGCCTTTTTCAAAGCAGATCCCGGCATTGGGTTAGGCCATCAAAAGTCGTTTTAAAAATCTTTTGAAGTGGAAAAGGTCGAGCCGATCGCTTCCTCTGATTCACGATTTACAGTAAAATGTAAAAACAGTTATATGTGATCATTTTGTCTGAAGTATCTGCATGTACGGAAAGAAACTAGCAGCCATGTTTATCAGGACGCCCGGTCCACCCTCAAAATTCCACAACACGCCTAGTACCGCGCTTCGGCGTGGATTGGAGCCTTTTGCTAATTGCTGATAAAACATTTGAGTCCCGTGGGGATGGCAAAAGCTTCATATTCAGCGTCTTTTAAGCATTAGTCTCAGTCCCAGAGTTTCCGTACTTAGAAATTTATTTAACGCTGAACCACTTAGGCCTGTATTAATACCCTAAACCCTAAAAAAACCCTAAACTTAAAAAGATGATACTGTCTTCTTTTAGTAGTTGGCTCCAAAAAATTGCTTCCCCTAAATTCTCTATTTTGCTCGGGTGTGGTTGGCGGAAAAGTTCAAACACGGGGGCTGAAAAAGGAGACTTTCTTTTTAAAAAATTCCTTTCTTCTTCAGCGACCCGTGAGAGGGTTCCGCGTTAGCGCCAGGGTAGCTTAGGGCTCTTGCCCCCATCAAGGACCTACGTCGCCGTTTTTCCCACACGCACACGCACAAACAAACACGTAGATGCTAATTGGTAATTAGCCTCCGAAAGGTAGGGTAGGCAGCGGAAATCAGGTCATAATCACAGGGACATGAAGCAAGTGCGCTGCAGTTTTTCTCTATGATAGAGGCACTTGAAACGGACCAAAGTTCCGGTTTTTAGGCTCCAGTTTTTGGGAAAGCGCCCTTACCCATACAGCCAAAATCTCGACAAAAATATTCTGACCGGAAATCCCGACATCCAAAATCTTGGCTGCTAAAATCCCGAGAGCCCGATATCCAAAATCGCGGTTTAAACGAAGGTAGCTATGAAATTAGCGTCATGCACCTAACGGTATTCTGGTTGTCGGGATTTTGGCTCGCCCCTCATTTTTTATTAAAATTGGGGATACTAAACAGAATATCCACCAAAACACAGAGCACAGATCCACCCATCTGAGCATTAGAGGGTATTAACGGATTAGCGAAGCCCTGGGGAGATAAAAACGTTCGGAAAAATTATAAGTTGCCCTGGGTTGACCCCCGGCCGTTGGAAAAACTTCATAAAAAAACGTCGTGTTTTTGGGGAATGTTTGGGTCTTTAGACGCTGAAAACCGGGGGTGATCAAGACTAGAACTTGTCTGCACTTTTGGATACCGTAGCCTCGATGAAATCGGGGGTAATTGTCGCGAGTTTTGATCCGGAAAGATACCTGAAACCTGACATTTTGTGGAATTAAAAATTTTAAATTGTTTTTAAAAATTCCTTAGTTTAATTCAAGCGGCATTTTGGCGCAACCAGATACCATTAATGGATTAATTACGGCGCGCCTTGAAATTCATCATTCAGCCCATTTTTCTCAGCTTTTTCAACTTAAAAATATTTCCAGCAACTTTCTAAGCATTTTCTCTAGCAATTAGAGGATTGAATTAGTTAAAAAACTCCAATTTAGCAATCAAAATTGGACAGACTTTCTGAATTCCCTGAGGATCGTATGCTTTTCCGTTAATTTCACATCCACCCCCGCTCACTAATTTCCAAGAGCACCAGTTCCACAATTTTTCGAGGTAATTTCAAGATCAAATTCTTGCTCCAAATTTTCTCTAATTTGCTTTATAATTTGGTCAGGTGGGTGAGCAGGGCCGTAACAAACCCGAATTTCGGGGTGGGCGACCCCAAAAATTTTTCACTAATATGACTAAAACTACAGCGCCGCAGGCAAAATTTTTGAAAACATAGGGTTTATAACACTAAAACTAGTGTTAAAATGAGACAAAAACAGCGCCGCAGGCATAAAATGTTTTGGAAAAATTAAATCATAAGGGTCCCCCCTTATGACCTTTCGGCCTTCGGCCGATTTCGGGGGGGCGGCCGCCCCCGCCCCCCCCCTCTTCGGGCCGTGGGTGGGCTCCTAAATTAGCGTTCAAAACAAGTTGTCACTTTTTTTCGGGGGCATGTACCCAAAATTCGAGGGTCCGAAAGCATCCGTACAAAAGCAGCAATTTTTTGCAGTTCGAGGTCGGATTTTGAGCTATAATTAAAAACACGAGATTCTCTTTCCCCGAAACTTTGGTGTCAAAAACTGGATGAAAAGCGGGGTGTAAATTTAACCCCCCCAGCATCATACAGCAGATTACAGACCCATATATTCCCCCATATCCCCGGGGTTTCAACGCAGACGTCAAAAAACTTGGCGGCAAAACCTGCTAATCCGGAATTACCACCTCCGCCAGACCGTCACCCCCCTAGGTATAGGGTGTGTTTTAGTGTGCCGGTACCGGGCGGGGGATGGTAGCTTACATGAGGCGGCTACATGAGAAAATTAAAACTCGGGGGCGAGATTTAGCACAGCTTATCGGAAGTGGCCCCGGCACGGAGGGCGCATAGGTTTTGGAAACTCATTTCTTTCTGAGCTGAGGGTATCGCGCAGGGCTTAAAAACTTCATTTTAACAAATGCACCGAAAGCGGTTCGTTTCGGAAAAATTATTTTTGGTGAGTTTTTTGGTCTCTAGCGTTCAATTAGTTGGTCTAAAGCCGAAACCTGGAATTTGCGCTTTTCTCAAACTAATAATCAGTGATCATCCGAATTAGTTCGTCGAAAAACAATTTTTAGTGATGTTTTACAATCTGCATCTTAAAACCAATTTCTTGCGGGTTTTCAACACCTTGAGGTCCGAAGCGCAGCATAAAATCAATTTAAAGGGAATAGCAAGCCTAAAATCGCACCGCTGCCGACGAGGTCTACACCAAATACGGAAAAACCACCCCGGAAAACAGGTTATTTTTTCGATGGGTTTTCGCGTACCGCGTCTTTTTATCAAAATCAGAAGGTTTCGCAGCACTTGCAGCTGTCGATACCTAGCCGAGAAAGGGTCGATTTCAAGCGCAAGGAAGTCCCTTTAAATTCAGTGTATAAACCCCCCATTTTTGATAATTATAAAGAGACAATTCGACATTCCCTAAAGGAATTTCCCCCTGACCCCGACCCAACGTTTCCGATTCCCTTTTCAAAAGGAAACCCCCAAAGGCGATTGTGTTTTCATTCCAATCCCATCAAAATTCCCCAATTCCACATTCAAAAATTTAATTGCCAAATTCCCCGGTATGAATCGAATGTCGCCAAAATTTCGCCGGGTTGGCCCCTCCCCAAAAGACCCAGACCTCGTTTTTTGAAGGGCATTTTTCATTTTTCGGCTTCAAATGGGATTGGGTCATCCCACCACCGCCGGGTTGCGCCGCCCGACGGATGTATGTGTTTGGGTCACCACGGTGCATTAACGGGTGGCCCTCAAAAACCGAAAAATGGCTTGAAAAATTGCTTGGATGTTGTCATACGTCGCTCCACGGCGGGCTTCTCCGCCCCCATCAAAAACATTAATGGATTTTGATGCAGCCGGCGGGCAAATGGAAATTTTTGCACTCCTTCTCAGCTGATATAAAGTCTGAAAAATTCAGAAATTTTTAAAGTTTTCTTCTTTTAGGCCGAGAGACGCCTATTTTTCAGTTTTGACCCAATTATTAGGTTTTCTATTTTCTAGTCTACAGTTTATTAATTGAATTTTTTGTGCACCACCTGCCTGCCATCGGCTTTTGAACCCAATTAACCCCCGCATTTTCCGTTGTTTCTTCTCTGTTTTGATCGCTCTCAATTGTTATCGGCTCTTTCTAGAAGATTCTAATCAAGTCAAAAAAAAATTCCAGAACGCTCCAAACCGTAAAAATGAACTTCTCGTCGTTGACAATCGCCTCCCTCGTCTTCATCATCTCCCTAATTCAATCCATCCAGGCCCAACACCCCTTCAGCTGGTTCCCTCGAGTGAGTTTTAAGACTTCAGGGGTTCTTTAAAAGTAAAAAAATAGCTTTATCACCATTTTCAACAATTTTCGGATTTTCTTAATGCATTGGAAAGCCAAAATCTAGTTAAGTTTTTGAAGGCGTGGGCTCAGGCTTAGGTTTAGGTTTAGCCTTAGGCTTAGCCTTAGACCTAGGCTTAGGCTTCGGGTCGGCTTCAGCTTAGTTGCGCCCAGGCTTAGGCTTAGGCTTAGACTTCTACAACACGACAATCAACTCAATCTATCCTCATTTTTCCGACCGATACCTTATGACAGTTCTTAAAGGAATGCGATGCCGATGTCGACTGCCAGCGCATCTACGTGCCCAAGACCACCGAGTGGAAGGGCCAGGTCGAGCCGGAGGAGGAGCGCAACTACGAGAACTGGGTCTGCCGCGGGGCCCACCTTCGCGATTCGGCCATGAGGGGATCGTGCCTGCCCCCGGTTCAGGAGAAGCTCGTCGCCGTCAAGCGGTTCATCATTCGCCCGCTCAGGATGTCCGACTATTAGAGAGCAGCTTGTTTTAAACCTAAAACTCAATACCATCAGCGCATTTAGAATTACTGAATCCCACAAAATCACCGGTCCAAATCATGTTTTTACTGTTTTAGCAGAAAAGGGATTGTGCAGGGGATGAGGTTTAACCGGAAAATTCGGGGAAGAGAGGGCGAGAGAGCAATCGAGCGAGATCGAGAGGGCGAGAGAAGCGAGAGAGAAGCGAGATAGGGAGTGAGGAGAGAGAGAGAGAGCGCGAGTGAGAGAGAGAGCGCGAGAAAGCGAGCATTAAACACGAATTCGAACCATCCCTTCTGCACAACCCCTTTAAACCTCCCCCCCCTCAATTCCCCCATTCCCTTGCATTTCCAGCCACCCTGTTCTTCGGGGTCGCTCTGTCAGATCAAATGGCAACAACACGCCTCTGAATTCATTTTTATAATCATTTTAAATGTTCTTTATCTGCTTTTAGGCTGGGGTCTACTTCGATTATCGGCTTCTCATGCTTTGTATATTGGTGTTTACGCTTTGATTTGATACTAGAACCCCATAGTCCTGCAATCATCCGATCTCTGTCTCCCCGAAATCTCGATGCCAAATTGAAAATCTATTGATGAAAATCATAAACCCAATCTGATGAGTGTTAATTAGCAACCCATCCTTCCGGTTGATTCAATTTTTATGTGCGATATTTTGCGTTTTATATCTGGTTTTCTTGGTGGTGTGTAGTTGAATAAAGTTTTTAAAATACTTATGGCAACTTAACGATACATGATGATGAGAGAGAAAGACAGAGAAAGAGAGAGGGAGACGCCTTAGACGGAGAGCGAAAGAGAGAGAGTGAGAGTGAGTGAGAAAGAGAGCGAGCGAGAGAGATGAATCGCGGCTTCCACATCTCACAGCTACAAAAACTACAGAGTATAAACCGATAAACCTGCAAATTACGTAATGAAAACTGTATTTCTGAAACTGCCGAACTACGTGTCCGAACTCTAACCACCAGCCACCCCCCGCGCACGCTAGTTTCGGCAAGATGGTACCTAAGATTTCAGCAAGAAATACGCCTAATTACGCCCTGCATCACTGCAAATTATAGACCACCCTGGCCACAACTTCGTAATTTTCAACCTCGTAGCTACCAATTTCCCGGGCCATATCTCGCGTTCATATCCGCACTTCATGGCCCGCCCGAGAGATCAGGCGAGCAAAACACTTTTTGCCCCCCCCCCCCCTGCAAACTCGACATTTTAAGGGGCCAACGTACGAAGAGCAGCGTGTTGAATGGCTTTTCAAGCTGAGATTAGTATCGTAATGACGGTGGCGATAATAGGGGATGCTTGGTTGGCACGACTAGAAAAAAGAGTCTTCTAAAATTCCCAAGGCTAGGCTTTTTCTAGTCTTTGGCTGGAGACCGGATACTGTCTATTAAAGAATTCAGTCAATGGCGACTGTCAAAAAAAACCGACATGATAAAATCTTGACTTGCCAAGTTGACATCTCGAAATTCCGACAACCGCCGGCCCTTGAACCCGACTTTCAAAATTCTAACCTTCAAAATAACAACAGCGAAAATCTCGGAAATCTGTAAAATCAGACAACAGGTCCGCGAACTAGGAAAATCCCGACAGGCGTCTGTTGAAAGTATTTCGTGTCGGTAGTTGCGGCCTGATCAGTTTTCGAAGAGCTTTACCGGGATTTTCTTCTTCTCATAGATATTGCTTGTCGGTAGTTCACTTTTCTGATTTTGTTTATCGGGATTATAGCCTGAACGAGTGTCCTGCGAGTCATTTTAAATGAATCTGGAAGTGCGTTGTCCCGATCGCTGCAGAACATCACAGGACGTAACGCGCCCGTCACGCATCCGACTTTGACGCCTTTGCTGGCGTTCCTTTTTTTCCTTTTTGCGGCCAAATCTGGACTTCTAATTCCCTTAGCATACTTTGTTCTGATTACTCACCCCCAGTCCACCGGCATATCGACAAAAAGTCAATCCCACTTTACAGGCACCAATATACTCTATTTACATGACTAACCGCCCGGAAATCCCACGGTTTTTGCGGCTACGCGGCCTTCAACCCGGGCCAGCCGACTACCATAACACGGATCCCGCAAAAAAAGGTAATTCGTACCGACCCAGCCAAACAGCCCAAAAATCCTTTTGACACCTCCGGGCGTCTCGGCGGCCGTAATTGTAGGGCAAATTTCCGGCCCAAGATTTCGCGCGCGGGCTGGTGGCCGGAGGTGCAGAAGACGTAAAGGCTACATTTCCGCTTCACGCGGTTCGGGGGTTTGGCTGTGGCGGTGGATTTTGGTGTGTGTGCGCTCGGGGGTAATTAGAATCCCGGATACAAAACAGGGCCACGGTCGCCCGGTTTTGCAGTGACGCGCTTCCGAAGTGGGACTGCAAAACGGCGGGGTGGAAGCGGTTTGCTCCTGGGGACCCGCGTTCCGGGCCGGTCATCGAGGTGATGAGGGCTGAAAAAGTGGATTAGGAGACTTAGGTTTTTTGTGGTCTCGGAGATCAGGTGAAAAGGCCGTTCCGGATGCGGCTGTTAAACCTTTTTGGGTGAGCAACCGGAAGCAGAATTCAGGGAACGACCTGGGACCTACAAAGCCACGCTAGAAACTATAACGTACTCGATGGGTCTTAATCCGGCACGTTTTTTTAGGTGTGACCGGAAGCACTAAATTGCGCGAAAAATTGTTTCCTTGGTGTAGCAATAAAAGTTTAGCGATAGGTGCTAAAAATTATAATTTTTAATTATTCTAGATAATAATTCGACTCCGCAGCCTGCTAAACGGCACGAAAAGCCGTTTAGCAGCCGATTTTCGGGCCGGTTTTTCAAAATGACGGGGGCTGGAAAAAGAGGATATTTTTTTGTTCCATGAGATCAGACTGAAAGCCGTTCCGGATGCATCAATTTCTAAAAATGTGGGAGGAATTGGGCGGAATCCAACTTCGAAAAGTTGAATGAGTCTAGGGATTGACCTAGGCTTTGCAAAAACCGCTCTAGAAACCATAACGTACTACAGCAGCCGTAATCCGGCACGTTTTTCAGCTGTGACCGGAAGTGATGAACTGCCGGAACAATGTTCTATTGGTGTCACGCTGGCTGGAGGGCTGCAAAAAGCTGGATACGAAAAACTTCGAAAACTTCGATTTTTTTTAGTTATCCTGCAGTGACTTTTAGGGAAATTGTAGGAACCGAAGGGATCCGGAGTCGGTATAGGCTTTTTTTGGTTGCCATATTCGATTGACAGGAGCAATAAAGTCCAGGCATTGGCTGGAGAGGAGAGTAAAGTACTAGGTAAAAAGCTAATATTATAATAATATGCCACCTTATATAATTTTCGAGTGTATCTGTGCGTGCGTGTGTGCGTGTGTGTTCGGCTGTCACTTTCGAGGCCGATTTGAGGGCCTTCCCGCGTCCAAAACGTCCCATTTCCCCGGCACTTACTGTAATAGCCCCTCCTCGTTCCGATGGCGTCTCAGAACCCCGAACTTACAAAGTACAGCCGGTTTTATTCATTTTTGGGGGTCCGGGAGGGCTAATCTGCATAATGTGCAAAAAAATACAAATTCCCTCATTCTTGCCAGTTGCACTCGCGAGTGTGGTCGGGGGCGGGAGGATTCCCAAGGACCCAGGCTATCGGAAAGTGAAATTTTGATGCAAAGGCCCAGGCCTGGGAATTTTGCGGGCCGGGCCGAGAAAAATCGGCATTTTTCGGGCCGGGCCGGGCGGGGCCGAGAAATTGAAAAATGCCGGGCCGGGCCGGGCCGGCCCGGGCCGGCCCGGGGGGTTTTACGAAGTCCAAAAATATCTTTTTTGGGGGGCAATTGGGACTTATTTTGCATATTTCGCTCACGAATAGTTAATTTGGCGTTATTATACAGCCTCAATAAAAAATTTGGTCCTTTTCTTGACTAAGTCCCTACCAGGAAATCGGTCCAGGTTCGACCCCGCCCGGCGTCTTTTTTTTGCTTTTTGAATTTTTATGTCAGTGCGACCGGATTTTTTCTTAGATGTATCAGTATGTATCGTAGTACTAAACTAAGCCTCAAAATATATATTAATATGGCGAATTTTAACTCGAAATGGCTTAATTTAACATTATTACCCTGAGATCGGTCGATATTTAGCTCTTAAAAATTGTTATAACTTTGAAAATCAAGTTTTATTAACAGAAGTGCTGCAAAATGGTCCACTAATACCGTATTAACAGCAAAATACCTTGCAATGGCGTTAAACCAGCTTGGCGGGAGTTTTTTTGGCCAACCCCGTATTTGACCCTTAAAAGTCGGGCCGGCCCGACCCGGCCCGGCCCGGCCCGGGCCGGGCCGGGCCCGGGCCGAGAAAAATCGCTTCGGGCCGGGCCGGGCCGGGCCGGCGAAATCGGGCTGGCGGGCCGGGCCGGGCCGGCCCGGCCCGCAAAATTCCCAGGCCTGCAAAGGCCCAAGCGAAACGGGTTTGATAATAAAGCTAACTGGTGTCAGAAACCCCAGTTAAAACAAAGCGAACGTGTTCAAGTTGACGCCTGCCAAGTTGACCGCATGTGCTACGGCATAATTCAATGATGAAGCGGTGCTTATAAAATTGCTGCCCAAAAGTGTCCGCGGCCAGTTCCCAATTTTCAACCCTTCCACCACCTTACCGTTAGCTCCTGTCCACCTTGAATATCCAAAGCTCACAATCACGCGACCCACGCGCCAGGCATTGCTCTAATCGAAGAACGTGTGAAAGTGAAGCAGATGGACGGTTTTCTCGACGTGTCCCTAGATACGGTGGCTTCACGCCGACAAGCGGTAGCCGCCATCCCCCAGTCGCCCTTTTCGAAAAATATTTATCGCCCCTTTCAACTTTGAGCACGGCAAGCGGAGGAAGGGAGAAAGCGGAAAGAGGTGAGGCCTAATTTAGGCCCCAAAATTCGGGGTGGCTTGATAGGCGGGCTTCATCCCACGTGCGTCAGCCACAGGCGGGGAGGTGATAAGATTTTTGGTAGGGCGACGTAAACAACTGGGCATATAAGGGACTGGATGAAGCCACCGAAACAGTTATTTGAATCGAATTTACTGATTTTAAAATTTGCTTGTTTTTAGCGACTTTGTAGGGCGTTTTGCATGTTTTTGCCTCTAAGATCGCATTTCATTTTGCCTGCCAAAACCTCTGAGTTTTTCCTGGTACTGTACTGCGCTAATTTAGCTTCATCTTCCTTAAAAAGCCGTTAAAAACACATAGAATCAAATTTTTTCAGAAAAATGAGAACAATCCTCGTCGTCGCCGTCCTCGTTGCCCTCGTCGCCGCCGGCGCCAAGAAGTAAGCTTTTTTGCATTTTTTGAAGTGTAGCTACTCCAGCATTTCCGGCTTTAAATTATGTAGTTACGGTATATCTTTTGTCATTATAGGCAAAAGGCCCCGAAAGAGAAGAAGGTCGCCCAGGAAGAAGCCATCCCGCCGCAGCCCAGCATCGACCAGGTCTCCTGCCCATACATGAGGGAGCAGATGCTCAGCCAGATGGACCCGATCCAGAGGGTAGGAATTGACTTATGAAAATGCTTAAGCTTAGACCTAGGCTTCGGAGCAGGCTTAAGCTTAGGCATTGGCTTCGGCTTAGGCTTACGCGTAGGCTTAGGCCTAATTTTGCAATTTCCCTCTACAGTGCCTTCAAACATTTGTCATTTTTCATTCTTTCTACGTCACCCCCACCCCCGCTCAGAAAAATCATCAAAACTGTGAGATTCCGTCCCCCCCGCCGCCGCGTCTGGCCGTCAAACCCTTTAAACATAAAACACCAACGACGCTGGTAGATATCCATTTCCAGGCGGATGCCGAGTACAAGCTGTGCAAGCAGAACTGCCTCGTCCAACATCACCAGCAGCAGATGCAACAAACCACCGAGCAGGTCAGGGAATCAGGCATCGCTCAATGGGTCTGGTAGCCATTACAGAAGGTGGAGCGGCTGAGGCAAGAGCTGGCTCAGGCGGAGGAGTTCCTCGGGCAGATGAACCAGGCCAAGGTGGGATCCTTGATTTTAAAATTTGAATTGATAGGATATGCATAAGAAAAAATTGACGAGATTGCTGGGGTTGTCGGGCTTATCGTCAAACGTTTCGTAAAAAGGGGCAAATAGGGCTAGCCCTGCCCCTTGGGAGAGCCTCCACGAGCCCGTCCCACCGCCGCCATAGCTCAGTTGGTTAGAGCGTGGGTCTAATAAGCCCAAGGTCGCAGGTTCGACCCCTGCTGGCGGCAAATTTTTTGCTTTTTGCCGTCATTTTTTATTTATTTTCGATTTTAGCAGAAAAAAAGTGTAAATCGAATCCTCAAACCATCTTCGCTAGATTCTAACTTGACAATGAAACACTGAAATTTGATACTGTCAAAAATCATGAATTTTGGCCTTGAAATACATGTGCCTTTTTTAATGTCCCATCCGCCATAGCCTACTGAAATCCTCAGGTTTTCCAGGAATCCGAGGGAGCGCAGAAGGCCCACGGCGGTTTCGCCCACGCCGACAGCACCCACCAGAAGTCGGGCGGCCCCCATTCGCATGTATAGACCGTGCTTTCGCTTCCCCCAAAAATCATCCACCAATTTCGTGTACAGCTTGAAACGCAGACGACTGCGCGCACGCTGGTCCTCTAGCCCTCAACGCCCTCTACGTCTTCTATTGCTCAACATCCGTGTGCCAAGCATCAAAAATAAAATATCCAATTATCAAACTCCCCTGGCCGATCCGTCCATCCTGACTTACTGTCGTTGCATGCCATCCTCCCGTTGTGCTACGGGTGCTTGGGACACGAAAATACAAACCACACACACAGAAAAGGCTAAACTTTTGGCATTCGAATCCTAGACAATTTCAAAGTCATAACGATGTTATTCACTTTTTATAACCAAATATAACCAAATTGAGTAATCGAAAATAGCCTAATCAAAAGGGCACATTTATGGTATAAATCTAATAACGCACTAATTATAAAAAAATCTACGAAAAATCGAAACTTTCAGTGAAATTCAAACGTTTCTGCGCTGCTGCTAAGCTACCAAATTACTTTTTACAGACAAAGAACCTACAAAGAGAAGGCAAACGCTACGAACGCCACAAAATAGCGCACAAAACAGCGCTTTAACCCGGTAAAAAACCTATCGAAGACCTGTAAGAATTGGTCCAAAATTACCGTAATGTCTGTCCATCTTTCGCGCTTCGAGCTAGTTTATGTGAATTTAGATACAATATTTAAAACCCTATTTTCCAGACCCCTCCTCCGCCGTCCGTCCCGAGGCCAGTTGCGCCCGCTTCGACGCGCTGACCGTCGTGTACCGGCCCCACCCACCGATGTCTTGAAAAACGTCGAAAAGGGGCCGGTCGCCGCTACGATGGACCAATTCCCAAGGTTTCTAACGCCTTTAAAATCTAAAAAAAATCCAATTTTAGGGAGGAGCACATCCACGACATCCACCCGGTCCCGAAAATCCGGGGTTTGCCCGTCGAGCCGATCGACATTGTGCCTCACCAATAAATGCTCAAAATTCTCTAAAGAAATCGGCAACTAAACCTAAAACCTACATATATTCATATTCAACTTGTAAGCCTTTATTTGGCTATAAAAAATCGTATTCGTATTCCTATTCGACCAGCTATCCGTGCAACTACTATTTACACCCTGTAAACTATCATCGCCCTCTCAAAAAACGTAGAAAAAGGCGGAGGACAACTAATCTCAGCAAAACACCGAAAACTGTATCTATCTGTGCATATTCTAGCGCTTCGGATTCTGAATCTGAAGCGGTTTTTCCCTATTTTTGCTATTTTCCGCCCCCAAATTTTGGCCAAAGCAAGCCGCCCCTATTGTTATCACCCCCGGGCCTCGACTCGAAAATTTATTATGAATTTTCGCCGGTCCCTAGTGGCACCCGCGAATTTGGCGCATTTCCAAGAAGCCAAGTGGCTTTGAAAGGCGCTGAAAACCCCGAAGCCGCTAACTTTTTAATTGAAAACCAGCATCCAGAAAAACAGTCGGCCACAATGAGCGCGCAACACCGTTTGTTGACACCCTGCAAATCGGTCGATGGCCGCCAAAACAAGAGTATGGCGCCGGCCAAAGGGTTGGCCAATGTTCACGAGATAAGGGAGAAGAATGTGGAGACAAACCGTGGAAACAAAGACCGATGCATTGAGAGAGAGGAGGAAAATTCTGCGGCAACGAATGTAGCAAAAGCTCTCAATGATCAAGGAACAAAAGCAAAAGTTACCGATGTCTCCGGACATACCACGCCACTTTTTATAAACTGGCCTACAGCTGAACCAGTAATTTCGGATCAAAACCTGGATATCGTACGCCAACGCGAACCTGCAGGAGCGTTCAGTAATAGCCGGAATTTGTCGAGCGACTCGAATAAGCGTCTAGCCGCAAAAGCGGCGATTCAAGAGGCGCCAGGCCTTGGCGTTGCCGTCAAAAAACGCGAGATCTCGGGCCTGGTTGCGAAAAATGACGTGACGAAGCCACCAGAAGCGCTGAAATTTTTGACTCGTGAATCTAAATTTGGGTTAGTTTTTGTTGAAAACCAGGAACCAGGAGCTTTGGAGATCCAGGCAACAGGTCCAAGCCCGAGACCAGTTGCGGAGTCTTCTAGGAACCATGTTCCAACCTCTAAAGTAATTTCTCCGGAAGCTCATATCACTCCCGAATCGATAATAGCGGCGAACGAACGCCTCCAAACCCAAGGAGGTGCTATTGTAGATCGTCAAGAGGGCCAAGAAGGATATCCTCGAATTCCACAATACCACAATTCAGAAGCTAAACCCTCCCTTAGTAAAAAGCCTGATCGCCTCGAACGTGCTCCATTCGCCGCTCCTACTTTCTATTCCTATGCCATTGTTCCAATTCTATTATTGCAAGTTGTAGTTTTTGCATTGTTGTATTTACCGTGAATTTTTAAGCGTATTACTCTTGTTAGAGAAATTTTGTTGCGAGTTTTCGAGCTGTATGCATAAAGCTTTATTCAAACTGATACTGAAATTGAAGTAAGTAACCGGGGAACGTATGCACAGTAAAGCAAGTATTGTGAGGCGCTGAAGCTTTGCAGGGTTTGGTCAGATTCGGCGGATATGAGATCCAGAAGAGAGGCACTTCTAGGCATAAGTGAAGGAAGGTTGTTAAAGGGATGCCGACGGCATAGTCAATCGATTACGCGCGGAAAAGAAAATGTCTCTGCGCCTCTCCCGTGGGCGGGCCTCGCCCTGTTGGCTACTCCAATTTGTTGTGGGGGTCGACAAATGCCGTCGGCAGCCCTTTAAGACGAGGTATCGAAAAATGCTGGTTCCAGAATTGTAAGTTAACAGAATAATCGAGAAATGGCAAAAAGGTTCTAAAACTAGTAAGTGTTTGTTTGAGCAAATCTAAAAATCCTAGAGCAACTCGACAATAACCGGGACGATTGAATAGACAAACATAAATGAGACCCCAACGATGTACAGAGACCATAGATGGAAGAGTTCCCAGGTGCCGCGACAAAATCTGAAAACTCTAATGAAAGAGAGAGAAGAGAGAGGGAGAGAGAGAGAGAGAGAGGGGGAGAGAGCGATAGAGAGATTCCGTAACTTACTCTCCAGCCGCCAGCGCCAATACGAGCCAAATGACGGTCTGTAGCGCAAAACGTTGCCTCACGAGCTTATGGCTCTTCGGATGCCGTTGGTGGAGTCTCACCGCGAAGCCGAGCACCCAGAAGATGGCCAACAAGATCAAGCTGTTGTTGACGGCCGTCCTAAAAGTTTACTTTATGAATTTTAGCTGAAAAATTATGTCATAGCTTCTAACTCTTTTCAAAGAAATCAAAATATCCTACCTTATATAATTTTGGAGTGTATCTCTGTGTGTGTGTATCCGGCACCAGGGAGGGCTACTTTGAATAATTCCAAAGGGAGGGTTCCGAAGGACCCATATCGGAAAGTCAAATTTCTCATGCAAAGACCGCATTCCAGCGCTCAAGGCCCGCGAAGCGGGTTTTGGGCGCTGGTTTATCTATAAAAAATCATCCAAAAATCATCGCTACCACCTACCAATCCGTTCGGATACTAAACCAGACGCTGAGCGGCAGCCTGAATACAAACACCGTCATCACGAACACGATACACCAAAGTACTGTATCCGCCTGAAATTTTCATAAATTTTTAGTGTTGATTTTGATTTACGTCCACTTTGCTCCACGGGTTCTTCTGCCTTTTGACCTTGGTTGTTCTTATGCGGTGGTGGTGGTGATGACCATTTTCTTTCTTTACCTCCGGAATCGTTTGCATCGGGGTGGGGCTTCTGGATTTCTGAAGAAAGAAAAAAGGCGTTACTAGCTTACATGCACATGTTGTATTTGCGATCGATTTTACGAGATTTAGTAGTTTTCGCTATCATTTTTGTCTTTCAAGCGGAATAGAGCCCAAGTTTGAAATTGAGGTAAAGGTATGCAAATTTTATTACCTAGGATCGTAAACTTACCATTTCTCTCAAGTCGATCCCCGAGTCCCTGCTGCTGGCCGTGTTGACGCGCTGGCGGAACTCGCTATTGGTGGAAGTTTGGCTCATCGCAACTGCTGTAAATTGGGGATTTTGCATGCTTGGGTCTGATTCCCCCCTCCCTTTGGGAGAGCCTTTGAGGCCCCGTTCCATCGCCGCCATAGCTCAGTTGGTTAGAGCGTGGGTCTAATAAGCCCAAGGTCGCAGGTTCGACCCCTGCTGGCGGCAAACTTTTTTGCTTTTTGGCCGAAAGGTTCCTAAGTGGCTAAAAATTACGTGTCCTTGTTTTTGATAGTTATTTTTACGCTTTCAACACCCCTTTTCAAAAAAATTAAATGCTTAAAAACTGTTTAACTGTGGGAACAAGATTAAACCAATACAATCTTTAAGATTTTTTGCGAACGTTTGAGAAGCAATACCGATTTCCTGTTACCCAAATTTAAATTCACTCACCGCATCTCCCCTCCTCCTTTTAATCTCGTCAAAATTCAGCAGCAATATCTTCAGTTTCAATTCCAAGCCCTTGATTTGAATTTCAAACGGGCAATCAGGTGGCGGGCGCCCTGGTTGTTGCCAAGACTGTTTACGACCGGATACAGCTCTCTCTCGTAGCCTTCCCCTCCCTCGCAGGGAATTCCCGCCGGGACCCCAGGGGCCGTGGCGCAAACACGCGCTGTTTTGGCGAGAACGCGAGAGCCGAGCCCCGGCCCTTGGGCTCGCCCCTTCTTCTTCGATCGAAATGCGGGCACGGCTGAAAAAAACGGCTCTCAGCTCCTCCTCCTCTTCCTCCTCTCCCTCGTCCACCTCCTCCTCCACCAGCACCAGTTCTTTGTGCTTTTTCGGCCCTTTTCCCCGGCTTTTCCCGTCTTCATCTCGGTCCTCGGGCTCTCTGGCCCACCGGATGCCCTTAGGCTATGACCCGGTCGGGCCCTCCCCCATGCTCCACGATAATTAGACCCGTTTCCCGAATGCTTCCCCAAAGGCCCGCGGTGCGCGCCCGCCTGATTCTGTTTCCCCTTCCGGCCCTCACATTCCGAAGGCATCCTATTGGCGTCCGGAACGTTGGCCAGGGGGGGGGGACAAAAGCCGTTCTTGGTGCTTGAGGATGTCTTAAATCCATGGCGTAACCGATAATGCTTCCGAAGTGACATCCGGTATTTACTTCATCGGCCCTTGGCTACGTTACGCTCCGTTCTTACATGCTAATTGTCTGCGCTGAATGCTTTTGTCATTTTAAATATCCAAGGATTATACACTGGGATGTGCGTAAATTCATCGCGTAACTGAATAAGCATTAAAATCACTTCGATCTCAATTTTTCGACCATCCACTACGTTACGCTCCGTTTTTACAACGTGGCTATGGGCGCTCTTGGCCATCTCTTGGCCATTTGAGCCAATGATTAAACCGATGGCTGCAACATGATACTAAGTACATAGAGTATAACCACATTTTTAAAAGGCACTTTCCGTAGTATTTTCGCGATTTTTCAACCACTGTTGAGTACTTTTAATCGTATTTTCATCTGTGCGTGTTTTCTCACCAACCTAAATTGGGCGACCAGACATCTTTTTTATTAGTACATCCGGTGGATAATTTGACCCTAATCGCCCTAATCCCCCCGGGGCGGGTAGGATGTATCCCGGGAAATCCGATTCTCCGAAAAATCGCAACATGCAGGGCTAATTGGGGCCTTCTAGGGCGAATCTTTAGGGAGCGGGGAGTAAGAAATGAAGCTTTTTTGATAAACTTACAGGGTAAAAACTACAAAATTGATGGTGCATACTTTTCAGGTCTGGTTCAATTTGTATTTTCAAAAATTTACACGGTGCGAAAGCTTTTTGATTTAGGCTTTGGCTTAGGCTTAGGCTTGGGTTGGGTTTTAAGCTTAGGCTTAGGCTTCGTGCGTACTTTAATTCGCTGCTGCGTTTCTAATTTATTGATTTCCTATTTTCCTACCCCTTTTCCACCCTAATACATAGTCTTTTCAAATTCCCGATTCTATTTTCGGTAAATCCCCAATGTCTGCCCCGCTAAAGTACACCCTTTTCACCTAGTGTTCTCTGGATTCGCCCGACTACAATGTCAGTAGACTCCAAAATTTTCCCGCATCCACCAGTCCCCCAGCCACACTAATTTCGCCCGCACCCACCCTTTCTGCCGCCTTTTTGAATTGTATTCAATTTTCTCCGGTGACTTTTTGCCGTCGTATTAACCATTTTTGGGGCCTATTTTGAAAGTTAATTACAAAAAGGTAGAGGGGAATTTTATGCCCTAATGGGGCATTGAAGCAAATCACAAGAAAAGCGGGCGGGAAGCCTTATCATTCGGGGATTCAAAAGAAGCCCGTGCCTAGGATTGACCTGTAAACAAAGGGGGGAGAAAATCTTTAAAAAATATTTGTGTTTGGCTTAAGGAAATTAGGGTATTTTTTAAGTTTTTCAAAGCTAAAATATTTTTTTTACAAAATGTTAATTATCAACGCCAGTTTCGAAGTCTCTCTTCTGCTTCCTGGGGGCTTGATTTTCATGGTCGTGTAGTGTATCTAAAATTATAATTCACTTTGAAAAGACTTTGCATATAGCATGCATATTAGCGATGAGCCGATTTAATAAGGTTTTTCAGGTCTTATCAATGTTTTTCGGTTTTAGCCCCTTTAATATGCTGTTGTAGGCAATTTTCTCCAATTTCATGCAAATTCACAACTTATTTTTACGTATAGTTTTAGTATTTTAGTATATCCTAAGTCGTATTAGTATTTTTTTTCAAAAGGCTCAGTCCTAAGATTTCCATTTTGCGTGCCGAAACATTCTGGCCGGGCTAAAAATGGGCCACATGGCCTGCAACGACCAAAGCACACGCTCGAACCAACAAAAAGACAAAGCACGCAACAGAGAGAATTCTAAGAAAAAAGTCAGCATTTCCTCAATGTCCTCTGCTAGCCTGCCCCGAGAAGAGGAAACGTTCTATCCAGGTCGTCTTGATTTTTTAATTTTTCCAGGGTGTCAAGAACCAACAAAATGTAATGCCAGGGAATCTATGAATGCGCAGGCAAAAGGCAATTTTAAGCAACAACCAAAAAGCGTTTTTGACATTTCTTGGGCTTAAAAAACATCCTTTTATCATTCAATACTGCCCTTCCCACCGCACAAAAGCCATAAAAATCAGGCGTAGTCCCGCAGAACAAATCCGGGGTGTCATCACCCTACCGAAATCGACTTCAGCTTTTCGGCCCTTGTCTTTGACCAAACGGCCCTCCTTTTCCGGGGCGCTTCCCTTTGAATTTGTAAGCATTTGCTGATTCACGGCGGCCGCAAACGGGGGAACTGGGGGCGTCGCCGCAGTTGTTATTGTATATTTCCGCCTTTCCTAGTTTTATATGGCCTTGATAAGCTTTTTGAACCACTTAAGGCCACTTTTTAGATCCTATCTTTCTTGAAAATTTGATTATCGGATAGCGTTTTTTTCCTTTAATTTACTACGTAATTTTTCAGCCATTTTTCTTTTGATTTGGGTCATACACCCCCATGTTTCCTACCCAATTATTGGGCCCTTTGGATTATGGCCGCCGGACCCCATATAATTTCCTGTGAAAAGCCCGGGCCTTGACGCACGGGACGGACCCGCTTCCGAGCCACACACCTTAAGGATGCAATTTGGGTAATTAGACCCGGGGGCGTGGGTCGCTTCTTAGGAATGCATCTCCTTGGGGGTTTTTTTGGATTGGTAGCATTCAAAGTACTGTGGCGTAATCGTGTCCCTCTCTCTCGCTCGCGCTTTCGCTCTTTTTCACTCTCTCTCCCTCTCTCTCTTTCGCTCTCTCCACACAGCCATTAATTAAAAATTCGCTTTCAGGTCTCACCACTTCCAAACTTCGGTCTATGTAAAGAAACCAGGCAGAAACGGGTCACACTTTCTAGCCAAAACAAAAACACGGAGGCGCTGACGATGAACATCTCGCAGAGCAGCAGCAGCGGCAGCATAGCCAGTAAGCTACAGTATTATTATGGTCTTAAAAACATTAAATAAAATGCCAAAAATCCAACACTTCCCCTGTTCTGTCTGAATGAGAAAGCAACTTTTCACCAACCCGATCACCTCGAGACTGGAGACACCAAGTGTAGCCAATCCTTTATTGTCCTCTTCTCTCTCTCTCTCTCTCTCTCTCTCTCTCTCTCTCTCTCTCGTCAATTCTTCTCTGGTGTCACCAGATCAACAGCCAAGGTCACCCCCCGCTTTTCGGGTATGATCTGCAAAGCGGCTTGCAAAAAAAGGGGGTAGCAGCCGAGCTACTAGGACTAAAAAAAGATGAAAAATGTAGTGGAACAAGGCGGCAAATAATAAAAAAACAAAGCATTTCAGGTCGGAAAAAGCCACCGAAAATCTCGATGCCAAAGGCATCCGAGGCGCCGACGCTGGACCTGGATGATAAATGCACAATAAAGTAAGGGATTTTCTATATTCACTTTTTTTTTGGTTTCCCGCGCGCTTTTAAGCCCAATTTTTCCTCAGAGTCGACGAAAACTCACCAGAAGTGGAGATCCGGGCCACAGACCTCGTCAGATTAGGGGAGCTGGGTCGAGGGGGATATGGGTGAGTCGCGGCAAATTCTCGGTTTCCGAGTGTATTAATTCTAAGCTGATTTAACCAAATAAAGCACTTTTAATTTGAAGTATTTGCGTACCTTAAAACGACTATAATTTGCATGAAACCATTTTACCTCTGCTTTTCAGATTTGTCGAAAAAATGCAGCATCGACCCTCCGGGCTGGTGATGGCGGTGAAGGTAAGATGGAATTTTCATGATGAACTGCATATTATGCCAAATTTCTTTTACAATGTTACAGCTTCACGTTAATAAGCTACTTATAATGACATCCGCTTTTAGAGGGTACAATCCTCCATCAACGACGAGTCCCAAAAACGGACGATCATCGAGCTGCAGACGTGCATGAAGAGTGATTGCTGTCCACAGGTGTGTTATGGACCCTTCAACAAGTTTCACCACCATTTTTTAGATGGTCCGCTTCTACGGGGCGATGTTCCGTGAAGGGGATGTGTGGATGTGCATGGAGGTAAAGCTTATAACCTTAATTTTAGAATAGTTTTAGGTCATGGACACTTCTCTCGACAAGTTCTACAAGAAAGTTTTTGCTTCCGGGTCAAGAATACCAGAGCTGTTTGTTGCGAAAGCGATTTTATCGGTGAGGAATTTTGGGTTGGAGTTAGGCTTAGGTTTTGGCTTAGGCTTAGTCACTTTTTTGCTACATTATCACCTTAATGATCCCTCAATTGTGCCAATTTGCCACAGCTAAAACCGGCGCGAACGCAAAGCCTTCCCAGAACCCCCGCAAATTGAGCCAATGAAGCTCGAGGGCCCAGTTGCCTACGGCGCACGGACCCTAAATCAAAGCTTTTCTCCCCACCTCCCGCCTCCTACAACCAAAATAACACGCCTCGCAAAAAGCTACATCCACTTTTTTTCTGCCGTATTACTGGGTGTAGGACGACCGTCGAACATTCATCTCCACCCAACCTAGAGACCCTGGGGCCCCAAAAAGAGGGCCCGGCGCCGCCGGGGCTACAAAAAGTGCGCCGGATGAATGAATGGGGGAAGGGCCCCGGGCCCGGGAAATGAGGATCTAAAAGCTGATTGGATAGAGAGAGAGACAGCCAGGAATGGCCGCGGGGGACCGGGGATCGGGGGCTAATTTGGGGATTTGGCGGGTTTAGGATCAAAGATTATGGTACCTTAACCGGATGAGGATTGACTAAGGTATAAATCGTATTGTTATACGCGTTGATGAAATTCTAGTAACTTTCCAGGTGCGAAAACTGTAAAATCCCATTCAATAGCTTAGAAGTGTTCCTTCCGAGAAGCAGCAACAGAACCTAGACAGCAACCTAGATCTCGACAGCTACAGTCAACACCAAATTCCACAAAAAATGCAAGCGGAATTTGCCGCTAATTTGTTTAATTTATTTAGCTAACGCTGTAAAAATTGAATTCAAGCGCCATTTGTCGTGTAACGTAGCTCCCGACACTATGCAAAGGAATGATTTTCGGCCTTCTGACTAGCTTTAAGATGATTGCAGGAGGCCAACAAATCAAATCGCAATTTTCAGATCGTCGAAGGCCTCAACTTCATGAAGGAACAAATGAACCTCATCCACCGCGACGTCAAACCCTCCAACATCCTCCTTAACCGAGCCGGCCAAGTCAAGATTTGCGATTTTGGCATCTCGGGGCACTTGACGAATTCGTGAGTCTCGCGCTCTAAAAGGAATATGGCCTACAATTTAGAGTAGCAAAAACGGTAAACGCCGGTTGCAAGCCGTATATGCCGCCGGAGCGGATAGACGGTGACAACAAGGTCGCGTACGACGTGAGAGCCGATGTTTGGAGCCTTGGCATTACGATAGTACGTTCGTTTAGTATGTACGGCAATAAAAAACTGGATGCCGGAATTTTAGTCGAAAAGCTATCCCCAGCAACTGCGAGCTTCAGCCCTCAATTCCAGATCGAAATCTTCTCCGGCACCCACCCTTACGGTCGCTGGAAGACCCCATTCGAACAGCTCAAACAAGTCGTCCAAGAGCCAGCCCCAAAACTCCCCATGGACTTCTCACCCAGCAAGGAGATGTTCAACTTTGTTGAGAAGTGGTAAGATTTGACCTTGTTTGAGGACTAGCCGATTTTTTAGCCTGATGAAAGACTTCAACCTGCGGCCAAAGTATCCTGAACTGCTCGCGCATCCGTTTATGGAAATTGCCAGAAATGAGAAGGGGTTCAGCATGTCGGCGTATATTCAGCCGGTAGGTCTAGGTGGCTAAGCTTAGGCTTTTAAGCTGCGGCTTGGGCATGCGCTTGGGTTTAGGTTCAGGCTGGGCTTGGGCCTCGGCTTAGACTTAGGGTTCCGCCTAGGCCTAGGCTTAGGCTCAAGCTTAGGCTTAAGCCTGGGCTTGGGGTTTAAAATATAAAAGTTATCCTTGGTCGGTAAGTAATAAAGCACCTTTCCAGTTCCTCGACGACCAAGACGGAGTAGATGACGCAGCATCAGCCCTCGCCGGTGTTCAGCTGCAACGATAACCCCCAAACCCACATTCCGCTGCTCCTGGCCATCCCCCAGAGCTTCCTCACTCATCAGCTCCGCTCCGCCAACCACGTCCTCAACTCGACATCATCTTTCAGCCGCCTGGCAGCAAAGAATAGGATTCTTGATTTATGCTCCTTATTCAGTTTTTTATTTTCTTCTTGCCCTTAGATACACAAATTCCGCAGAAATTAGGGTCAAAAAGTATATACTGTCCTCGCAGCCATATCAACTCAGCCTCCCCCAGACCTGTTAGAACGTAAGGAAATCTATTTATTCAGGCCCTACGCGCGTTTTAAAGGGATTTGGAAGGCAGGTTTAGGTGCGTTTTTGACTGGATGTATCAAAAACTGCCCTGTCGATCCCTTTAAAACCCTGCGATTAGGGGGCCGCGCCAAATTTTTTTTTTTTTTGCTGTTTTCCTCACGCCGAATTGCCCATTTCCGAATTTGTTCAGTTCAAAATGAAATCTTGGTTAGAATATTTTTGATTAAGCCGAAGCCTAAGCCTAAGCTTAGCGAAGCCCAAGCCTATCTAAAACACCGACAGCTTGTGATTCCTCCTCCAAACCCCAAACGATACCTTCACCTAGAAAACCCTCTGGTTAGCCCCTAGATGGTGGCCACCCTACCGTACCCTCCTTCCCCTTGCTCCTGCTGTGATTGCCATTCGCCGTATTCCCTGCTGTTTTCTTCGACCCTGTAGCTCGCCTTTTTTACCGTTTTTTTTCTTTTTTCTGTCTTAGTGTAATTTTTTTCGACAACGACAACTCGTGTTGTGTTTTTGGGTCCTCATGACATTGTCGCGTACACACGTTTTCCCCCACTCCGAGCTGATTTTGCCCAGATAAAAAAATATTTTAAAAAGGCAAGAAAAATGATCCGTTTATTATACATTGCTAGTGTCGAATTTTATTGTTTGAATGCAATGGGGAAAGGCGGATGGGAATTGAGGGTATAATTCGCAAATTGGCCGGTTTGGGATTGGCAAGCTTGGAAAAATCACTTTGTACTTCCCAGAATTTGTAAAAATCAGTTATAAAAAATTTTCCAATGCTTCCCAAACCCAAAAAAAATACAGAAAAACGAGAACCGGGTTTGCAGCACCTGCAAATAGTATTGATAGGGAAGATTTTGCGAAGAAATTGGGGATTTAAAGGTACCGGGAAGTCAAATCGTGCATTTATCCGTTTAAACTTCGCTTGAACCGAAGTACGTCGTACTCTAACGTAGTATCGGTATCGTTAGTGTACCGTAGTCGACCGAAAGCGCACGTATTGCATCGTACCATGGCCGAGCGTACTCTACCGTATTCTACCGGAATATACACTACTTTACCCTAGCCCGCCGTAACCTAGCGTAGTATGATAATTAAGGCCCAACCGTAGCGTTTCCTACTCGACCATGCTCTACCGTACTCTACCGTCGTGTAGGGCACTCCACCGTAAGGTTCCGTACTCTAATGTAGTTTGCGGAAATCAGCCGTACTCTACAGTGCTAACCAAACCCAAAAGCTACCCCAGTTCTAGAAATCCTTAGCCTCTTTCGTCGAATTGCGGACTTCCCGGTACCTTTAAAAGCGAGTAAGAACAAAAATGGCAGTTGCTAATATGGAAAGTATCCGAAAATAGTTCATTATATATGAGATGAGATTCTCCCTGGGCCGGGGGCTAATACTGGGTTGCGTAAGGGTTACAAGGCGGGGCTGTCATTCGGAGTGCTGCGGAACGCAATGTGGCATACAAGTGAAATGGGTGGGGGTGGTGGATATGCTGATGCAAATACAAGCACGACAAATTTGTACCCTGACAAACACAATGGATTCGGCTCTCGAATCACGAAAAATAAACGTAAATATTTAAGCAAAAAATGAGATTTCCTGGTTCAGGAATACGATTGCTAACGATTCGACCGGAGGTACGGTAATAAGGGCGCAAAATAGGCGAGCTAGGAATGGCAAAATTTTGTAGAAATTGATGTTAAAGAGGTCCAAATGGACTTAGTGTATACTATGTTTCTGAATTCGGCTCCTCGTCAATGAAGGGTAAATTCAAGGAATTTAACGGAGGCATCGGAACGCCGTAGCGTATTGTAACGTCTGGAGGGGCGCCGACGTTCCTGAAATTTGGATATCCGGCCTGGGCCTAAGGTTTTCTAAGTATTATAATTCATAAACCTGCTAAGGAATAATGCCGAAAAAAATTTACCATATACTCCGGATAAACGCCTTCGGCCGCAGTACCGTAACCCCGGCTTTTATCGGAGACCCGTCGTCGACAACGATGCTGAACAGCGTGTTGCTGCTTGTTTCCCTGAAATATCGCTATATTAATAATGACAAAGCATGAAAAAAATCAATAAAAGTAGTCACCCAAATTTTTCAAGACCACCACGATTTTCCAAAAAGCTTTTGTTGCTAATCGGGGCATCCACCTTGACTCGGTTGGTGGAAGCTAGGTGGGAAAACCGGCTCGCCCACGTTCCCTTCTTTAGGCTCCCCCAGCGCCCGACCGCCGTGCGTTCGTGGTGTAATGGTCAGCATGGATGCCTTCCAAGCATTCGACGGGGGTTCGATTCCCCCCGAACGCAAACTTTTTGCTTTTTGTAGGGATCATTGAATTTGGCCAGTTGATCAGCAGGATAAAATTTTTGTTTGGTTATTGATTAATCCACGCCTTATTTTTATCGTGAAGTTGCTTAGTTGCATTCCGTGGAAGTTCGTTAAACGTTAAAAACAAATAATTTTCAGCGCCCGTTCGAACCTTTTAATAATTCTTGTTTTTTGAGGCGTGCATTCGAGTATCTTTACTCGAACTTTTACTGGCAGGACAAAACAAGTTTTGTACTTTTTAATCTTTTGAAAGCTTCCAGAGCAGGGAAAGTAAGGCAAGGTGTTGTTCCGGGCGGATCGAACCGGGATTTTTTCACTCAAAACCGAATTTTTTGAATTTTTTTTTGCGATAGGTATGACATTTATGAAACGAAGCTCCCGATGCCCGAAAACACTGACCGATTTGCATGGCTCGCCCACCAGACGCCGCCCCTCGCCAGCCCCCAGGATTTCGGGGGGTCCACCGACTCCGAGGCGGCTCCTCGGATCAAGTATAACATTTTAATCCGTGCCGCTTTTAGGCGTCGGGCCAGGCGAGCCTAAAAATTGAAATTAAAAAGAGTTTCGCGAAAACTGCAACCTGCTCCATTTGAGATGCAGGTGATGGGGGTCGAAATTCGGCCCAGGAGTTAAATTCATAGTAGTTTCGGACGTGGATGATGCCGTCTTAAAATTAAGCGTAGAAGGTCGTGCTCAAAAAACAGATCAAAAGAAATATACATTATCGGAAAAACTTAAGCTAGTCGATATCCTTTTAATCCGGTGAAGATACTCGAATAGAAGCTAGACCCCTACCAGAAGTCACGCAAACAAAGGGATCGTCATAGACGACAACGGGGTCCCCATGTAGGGATGATACGGAAGCCCCGGATGTTGATGGTAGCGCATCGGAATTACCTAAAATTAGAATATTTTGATACTTTCAACCTTTTACAAAACTTACAGTCACTCAAAAACGATGTATCGAAATGCAACCGCTCCACCGGGCTTGGACGAGCTGAAACAGGACAAATTTTCTAGACTTTGGGAGGCTACTTACGAGTTCCCATCTCCATCACGGCTACCGTAGCCCGGTCGACTTCGATCGGGCTCGGGGGTTGCTTGGGAGGGCGGATGTGGAGGGTGTGGCGGAGGAAGTGCACGAAGCTCTTGTACCGGCTCCGTGGGGAGTCGAAGCGTCCATCTGCCTCGCGCTCCATCACATTATCTGTAAAATCGGATTTTGTAGAGCGAGATAAAGTGAACGACATTGATAGAGAGAGAGCAGCGAGAGAGAGAAATAGTAAGAAAGCGAAAGAGAGCAAGTTAGGATCAAAGATCAAAGATCTCGCAAGCAAAACCAGATGAAAAACTTAAATTAACAGTAAGTCCGAAGGAAACAAAAGATCTCTACAAACTGCCGGCTACAAAACAGCACAAAATGCGGAGGCAGCGCCTTTATGGCGGCTTTACATATCTGAACTTAGGTGATCCGACTACGGTAACGACCTTTCCCAATTTACGGCCCTTGCAACATCTGAGGTACGAAAAAGCAAGATCTTCAACGATTTGTTGAATGCCAAAAGTCGTACTTTGTTGAACATTGATGTGGGTTGCCAAATACTAGCAAGCGATAAGTTCCTAATTTACTCGTTCTCTCTCGCTAGCTTTCCTCTCTGTCGGTCCTACGCTCTCTCTCTCTCTCCCTCCGTCTCTCTCTCTCAACGTCGCTCTCAACCTCTCTCTCTCACGCTCTCTCTCTCCCTCCACATCGTGCAAGAAAATAATGACAGATTTCTAATCTAGGATAACCAAAAATAAAGGGTTTCGAAACTTAGTAAAAACCTCAAAAAGGCTTTTTATACAAAAATTTGGAGCTGATCCGTCCATTCAAACGATCCTTGTATAACTTTTTCATAACCCGATTTTACATTTGAATACATTCCCCCCCCCAATCAAGGCTCATTTAAGGCCACACACGACGCAAGGACACGGCAAAACAAAGACATAAAAGGGAATAACGACCCAAAACGCTCCTAATCCCAGCCCACTGACAGAGCACATTCGCCCGGATGGGTCCCGCGCACTTGAATTCCGACGAAATATCCAGTTACGCGTCGTTCCGAGACAATCCCCGATGGATGGGAAGGGGTGGAAGAAACCGGGGGATGAAAAGGCAAAAATTTCAGACCCGGGGACGGTAGGAAATATCAGCAAAACGGGGATTTTAGCGGATATTCGGGCCCGCCGGGGGCCTAGGGTTCAAGAAAAACGCGTTATTCAAGAATCAATACGTGAAAAGTACTGGAAATTGGAAACGGGGAGCAGTACAGTACTTTGTAAAAATGAAAAATTGTGGGGTACAAGGTTTGCATCGGGTTTAGTAAAAAAAACTCAACGAGCGGGATATCGAAAGCGGGATCGAGAGCTGAGCGAGATAGAGAAAGAGAGAGAGCGAGAAAACGAGAGAGCTAGAGTGATATTTTGAATATTTTCGTTAATAAGAGCTGGAGTCGATCCGGCAAGCTAGCAAACAATCTTTGGGAATTCTTCGGAAAAAAGCAAATATGGGGTAAAAAATGTATGGCGCAGAGGAGCGTGCTACCGTTACAATTTTTCAGTGAGCTTCTAGAGATCCATGCGGTTAACGAAAAAAAGCAAGCTGCTTGAAATTCCAAAGAAGCAGTCAATAGCGAAAGGCAAACTAGCAAAGATTCTTAGATTCGCATAGAGATGAATACACAGGAAGGGGAGAATGTCAAATAAGCTTGGAGTATACAATAAAATTACAATAATACGGTATTAAAAGGTCTTTCAGTCCAAATCAATACCCCCAGACACCGCCCGAATTGGTATTCGATTGGTGCATGCCCCCCCCCTGCGGGTACATGTGTGCTGGTGTTGTCCGTCCTTTTTTCTGGATGCGTTGCTTCGGGGCTGGGGTGCCGCCGGGGTGACTCGACGAGCACACAGACGAACACATGCCGGCCATGGCGGACAGACAGACAAACGGACAGACAGCCGAAAAGAAGCACAGACGAACACACCCCATCCAATTGAGTCACACGCAGCCCGGGGGGGATGGCCAGCCCCCCTCCAGCAGTACCACCACAAAAACGGCATGCAAAAAATGGTGCAAAAAGGCGCCGGCCACGGACACGGCCGCGCACCCTCTCGTTTTTTTGTGTTCTGCATCGATCCTGGTTGGCAGATGGCCAGAAACAGAGGCGGGATGGGGTGAATTGACAGGGGTGAACTGCGCGAAATTTGGAAAAGAGTGGAATGATCAGAAATTTTGACGAAGGAAGGGGAGAGACAGAGAGAGAGAGAGAGAGAGAGAGAGAGAGAGAGAGATAGAGAGAGGGAGAGAGAGCCAGGGCGAGAGAGAGAGAATTTTTCATTAATTGTTTCAAACAGCTGAAAATAAGCAAGTTAAGTCTTCAAAACGAGCAAAACTATCGCGCTAAAACCTGGAAAAAACCACAAACTTCAAAGTTCTGAAATCGTCTTAGGAGTCAGGACGAAAATCAAGGGCAAAAACCTGTACAACCTTCAACATTTCAAGTTTTTCCCAAAGCAAAGTTCCGGTCAGCAAAAAAGTAGAAAATTAATGGGAGCGCTCCGGCGAGGCCTGATCTCCCAGGCTTTTGTGGGAATCCCCCAGGAATCAAGAAATGTGCCCACTTCAAAAAAAAACGAAAACAAAAATAAGCCGGATTTGGGGTGTCCTAGCGGCAAAGGGAGGGAGAAAGAGAGAGCATGAAAATCTTCAAAACACAATAAAACACAAATTCAATAAAATGAAAGTAGAATGCAAAGAGAGAGTCCGACTCTGACCCTCCTCCCTACTTTTCGCATTGAAAAGTGCAAAAATTCAATGAGCCGAGCAGGGGAAGAGGCAGACACTAGCGCCAGTCCATATTAGCACAGCTTGAACCCACAACCGGCTGGGCGGGGGGAGAGGGTTCAACACCCTCCCCCCGCACCCGACTCCCCTGCGTTCGTGGTGTAATGGTCAGCATGGATGCCTTCCAAGCATTCGACGGGGGTTCGATTCCCCCCGAACGCAAATTTTTTTGCTTTTTAGAAGGGGTGGTTCAGGATGGACTGGAAATGGGTTTTGTGTTGTTATTAATTTCTTATTCGTTAATTTTCATATTTTCTCGGGCTAAAGGAGGACCAGGGAGTGGTATTTTTGAGAAACTAGAGTAGTTCTATTACTTTTTTGATTTTAATTCTCATGCGATAGATAGATAGAGAGAGAACTAGAGAAAAAGCACAGACATATAGCAAGAGATAGTGATTGAGCAAGAGACGCGCCTAAGAAAAAGAAAGATAGAGAAACATCACGAAAATATTTCATTCCCAAATTCCTTTTTTCGAGATGTTGTTTATGGAAATCCGAGAATCCAAGAATTCCGAGAAATAGATAAAATTTATTAAACAATCTCAGCTATCAGATCAGCTAATTAAGGTATCCAGAGCACCACCACCAATCGATACCTGCAAAACGAATACCCGAACGGCGCTCTGCAGTCAGAAAAGCAAAGCGCCCCGCCAATGTGCGGCGGTCACTTCGCAACTTTTGACCCGTTTTTTGTGCCCTGAAAAAGTGCAAACGCGCGGCCTCGGGAAGGTGGCAGGGAGGAGAAGGAGGGTCGGGCAGAGGTGTGTGCCGGGCCCCGGCCGTTTTTTTGTGTGTGCATGCTTGCGCGGCTTCACGGTGTGCCGTGGCAGTCCGGCGACCCAGAAAGTCAACAGTTGATGTGGGGAGCAAGCGCGCACTGTCTCTTTGGTGGTTCCAGCGCCTTTTTGCTAAAGCGTGGACTAGGGCGAGGGTCATGCTTCAACACGGTTGGTTGTGACGTGTTGCTTCGCGGGGGTACAATCACATTCCGGGCGCGCCGCGCGGGTCCTTTGTTGTGCTGTGACTGTTGCGAGGGGTTGGGCTTTTGGGTATATCCGGTTACGAGATTCCGGGTTTTGCAGGGAGCATTTTTAATACGAAAGGTTATGTTGAGGAGGGGAAATCATAGAGAAAGCTAATAAAGCCAGCGAGAGAGTGACAGAGAGAGAGAGACATAGAGAGACCGAGAGAAAGAGTGATCGAGAGCGATATATATGGAGAGTGTTAGAACAAGAGAGCAAAAGAGAGGCAGAGAGTGATAGAGAGAGAGCGAGAGAAAGAGCGATAGAGAGAGGCAAAGAGAGATAGAGAGACGGAGAGGAGAGAGAGAGCGGGAGAGCGAGAGAGACATGGAAAGCGCGAGAGCTAGAGAACAGTGTGTCGAGAAAATATTCTCTTTAAAAAATCAGCGTAGCGGGAAAAAAAACAAAGCTGTAATCGAGACAGTAAGAAAACGTGAGGGAACGCCTGCAGGGTCAGGCAAAACCTAGATAACGCTAAAGAAAATGTGACGAATTTTTTTTATAAAATTGCCACAAAAATTCGATTCCTGACCACACAGCTCCCCCTTTTTCAGTTTCGTCGCGAGACCAGGGCGTTGTCCTAATCTGTCCACGAGCAGTAATTGATGGATCCACACGAAGAATGGGAAGAAAATATCGTTGCAGTGTTCCCCCAAAAAAATCGTCAACGTCATTCTGGGCAAAATCTGTTGCAGGACCTTGTTTTCAGAAGATCTCCAGGCAGGAACACATTCTTTTATGACCCCCCAGGCGTACATTCCGTTTTATGAACATTTTTTCCGGACAGGCTATGAACGGGCCATAAATTTAAGCGGGTCTGCCCAATCAAAAGGGCATAGCAATGAAATGGAATTGGGGAAAAAATAAACATTTGGAAGGGGGTTTCGGTGGGAATGTTGCGTTCGTTGACTTTGTTTAGGAAACGTGAGGTTTGGGGGGAGGACAATTGAGGAAGAAATCGTAGCGAGGCAGCGGGAGGAAGAGAGAGAGAGAGAGAATGAGTGAATCTTAGAAATAATCATACATACATGTAAACCTAAGCAAAAAAAAACATAATTGGGGCTACAGTAACCCCTTGAAAATAACTCCCTAGGGAAGCGCCAACAATTGAATTGGTGATTGAAACGCACAAAATTTGCAAGCCGATTTTAGCTAAGAAAAAGCTGTGTTGCAACCCGGCGGTTCCAGCAATGGCCGATATCAGAGAGGGCGCCCTGGGTAAATGGAAAAATGCCAGCCTGGCTCTAAGGAACAGGTCAATAAAGCCGATAAGGTGGGTGGAAGGGGACGG